CCTTTTATGAACCAAGTTAGCGAACCGATTAACTTGAAGTTACGTTTGGGCGCCACTTTATCAGGACATACCATCATCATCTTCATCATGAAGCCTTTCATCAATTTCAGAAAATGAGGCACCTGTATAGTATTCGTGAGAATACGGAGGGAAATATGAGCCTGATTTTCATTTACCTCTTTCACGTCTCCACGGAGGCGGAATATACAGAGCTTTGGCCTTGTCGGAAGACGGCCAATGGTCTTCAGCGAATGTAATGGTTTGCTTTGTCGGATTGATATTCGAAACGGCTGTGTCATCAGCTTTCGCATCGTTCAATTTCAGGGAAGTCCTGGTGCATGAGTCAGTACCCATTATGTTTGAGAGTCTGTTATGTTGATCGATAGCATCGAAACCAACCTCGAAGATTTGTCCCGAGTCTCAACATGCGCCCTTTCTTTATCTGAGTCGTCTATTTCGTGGCTGCTAAATTGATCGTTTGGGGCTTCATGATCGTTGCTACTCAAACTTCTTTTGTCCTTCAACTGTGCCTCTGCGTCTTGTTTGGGGGGAGCCTTTGGCCTCAAAAGATGCGGGGCTATATTTTGGAGAGACAAGTTAGTTCTCGATGATGGCGTTGAGTTTGGGGGGTGGGGTGGAAGACTTCTCACCGATTGCTTTGAGGCGCTTTTCGAACCATCGAACCCGAAATACGATTACGATGATGTTGATGAATCCCAAATTTCCCAGGATTGGAATGAGGTATAGGTAAACCTGTTGGTAGGTCTTCAAGGATTTGACGTCGACACTTGACACCCACGGAAAGTCTTTGTTTAGCCGACTTATGAGAACGGAAAAGAAATTAATAAAGAACACTCACGTATTCAGACCCGACTCAGTCGACGCGCTGGCTCCGAAAAAATAAGCATCGACGGCTTTCAGATTACCATAAGGATAGATGATAACCAAGCTCAGAACGCTAAGGGTGATAATCCACGCGTCTGCGAAGAAGAATTAGAAGGGGATATTCTATAAATGCCGATGGACGTACAGTGCAGGACGAGAAAGTTTATCGGTGGCTTCCACATGGCACAAAACTCGCAGGAATGTTGTTTCACGGATAATTCCAAGGGGCCTGCCAAATTCCATTATATAGTCGCTGGCTTATCGTATATTCAAAAATTACTGCATACAAAATAAACTAGCGCGATAAAGAATTTGAGTGAGGGATTTGCTAGGCAAATCAAAGTTTGGCCCTGGGTCGCTGCTTGCGGCTTGGCTGTCAACTCGCTTCCGTGGTTAGCGCGCTTCGAGATCAAGCAGCGAGGCTGAGCATCACATAGAAAATCTTACTCCGTACAATCAAATCAGCTGCCCGGAATCTATTTTAATATTCTAGTGATATCATTGGCCGAAGTGTCTTTCTCATAGCCCTGATTTTCTGGTAGATAATTTCTTTTTCTCGGCCTTGTGAAGCCTTTGACTAAAAAAACAATCACAATATTCCAGTACAGACGGATGGATGGAGTGATGACTTCATTTACCCTGACCACTCACCGAGTTGGATTCTAAACCACAACCCACTAGGCTGGATACGGACTCGTATTTTAGTGTAGTTGGGAAATCAACCCACCGAAGTGATAACTATGCAAACTACAACAACTATATATATCTCTACACGTTCATGTACCGTGCGACAGTTCCTAAGCGAACTTAGAGCTTTGCCAAGGCCTGCCGTGGCCTCTGTGTCGTCGTTATGTTTATGCCGTCTTCATGGCGCGCGGCTGTAACCGTTGCAATGCTTCGGCGAAGTCCAGGACAGCCTCCACTGTCTTGGTCCGTGAAGCACTGTCAATCTTACCTCTCCCTTCTTCTCCTGGGCCCCCTGACAGAGTTGACATGCTGTTGAACGCGTCGCCAACCTTTCTTCGGAGATTGCATCGTAATTCTCTCAGTTGCGGGCAATCAAGCAACACGTGGTGTACACTTTCACGCTCGCCACAGACGCACAGGTCGTCATCTCGGAATCGGAAAGCCTTAGCGTATGTTGATAACCAGCAGTGTCCGGTTCGCAACTGCGTTGTAGTAAGTAGGCTCGGTTTCTAGGTAGAGATCCGTAGAGCCGTCTCCTGTACTTGGCCGGCAATGTGTTGTCGATCCGACGTAGGTGGCCGCCGGTCCTCGACTCTTTCCATTCTCTCTCTCATTGAGCGTGAGTTCCTTGCCTGATGTGTGCCCTCTCGCGTGATAGCAAAGAGCAGAACGGGTGTGTTTTGCCCGGTATGGCTGCCTCCTTGGCTAGCAGATCGGCGGTGTGATTTCCGGGCATTGAGCAGTGTCCGGGTATCCATTGGAGTTGAATCGATGTGCCGTGGGTGTCAGTGTTCCTGGCTGCTTGTAGACTGGCATGGATGATCTGTTGTCCCTATTTGTTCCCTGGATTCTGGATGGCTTGCAATGCTGACATGCTGTCGCTGAGGATAGTGGCAGATCTCACCTGCACGTGAGATGTTCTCCAGTGTCGGAGAGCGACCTTATTGATGATGTTGATAGAGTACATGAGCCCAATCAGCTCGGCGGCGTGTACGGATCATGGATCCGTGGGCCCGACCTGGATTCGTATGCTGTCTGTTGATTCCAGCGATTCGCCGAGTACGGCGCCTGCGGCGCCGAAATGACCTTGTCGTCCCGAGGCATCCGATTACAGCACGATATCCGGGGTTGACCACGCAGCCTCGGCTCTTTCTATCGCGATCTCCCTGTCTGGTTCGACCTCAATCATTTCGATTTCCTGTAGTCTCTCCAGGTTCATTGTTTAAGGCTTCTGACAACTGGTACCGGGCGATCGATCCATGATTGTTCCGTCTTCTCTGGGTCCGAGTTGGCAGCACATGCGCTTCTACATCAAGTGTGTCCGTGGCCAACGTCCGGAAAGCAGATAAGACGAGGGTGAGAGCCGTTCGCTGCACAGTACGTAGGTGCCGCAGATGGGTCTTGTCTCGAAGTGGATCGTGCCAGACAGTCCAGGCGTATTCGACGACCGGTGCGACGTACGCTTCGTAGAGCTGTCGCAACTCCCCAAGCGCGATGTTCACCTTGGTGGCTCGTTTGACCGCTTGTGGTACGTGTTCCTTCCACCGTAGCTCATAGTCGAAGATCACCCCCAAGAGTTTGGCAATCGTGGATGGTTGAATGGTATTCCGGCTGACGTGAAGGAGTTTGGTCTTCTCCGCAGCGAAGCAGGTCCCAGTTCTTTAGGCCCAGGCTTCGATCCGGGGTATGTCCTCAGATTGAATATTAGCCAAGTTCTCTTCGGCGCTCAAGCCGACTCGCCAGCGGAAGTAATCGTCGATGAAAGCAGGTGCTCCACCGAAGGTATCCACCGGCTGGTCGACCAGGTCGTAATTAAAGAATGCAAAGAGGATGGGTGAAAGTAAGGAGCCTTGGGCGAGTCCAGCATTGTCAAGCGGCACTACCTCGGTCTTGTAGTCGTCGAACTCGGTGTTGGCCTGACGTCCTCCCATGAAGCTGGCTATCCACTTTCGGGCCACCGAGGGGTTGCCCTTGGATTGGAGGCGAGTATCCAGGCCTGTCTTGTTTACCCCGTTGAAGGCTCGGAGCCCTTTAGGTCAAATGACATCAGTGTGACGACCTTCTGCCTGTATCATGCTCGGTCAATTGCGTTAGCAAGCACCAAGAGAGCTTGTTCAGTTGTACGTCCCGGACGTCCGCCGAACTGGGTGTCTGGTAGGAGCCTATAGTGTTCGGCGAAGAAAGATAGACGTCGGGCCACCACCGTCTACAGTAGTTTCCCGAGTATGTTAAGTAGCGAGATCGGCCGGTAGGCTCCTGGTAGCGAGTAGTCTGGTTTGCCGTGTTTCCATAAGACTACAATTCGTGCGCTTCTCCATCGCTGTGGGTGGTATCCTAGTTTGATCGACGACACGAAGATCCGAGTGATAATGCATCCGAGGTATTTCCAGAGGCGTTTCTAGACCAACGTGGGGAGCCTGTCCTCGTCTGGCGCTGATGTGCCTTTTGCAACCTTGAGTGACCGATGGACTTCAAGCTCTGAGATTGGATGCCATCGGATTTCGGCTGGGACATGAGCGAGTGGTTCCTCTTGAGCTCGCGCCATCGGTGGAAATAACGAGGTCATGAACGCTTGGGCTTTCTCCGCGTTGTCAATTAACTCCCTGTCACCAACCTTGAAAGCGGGAATGCAGCCCCAGGAGTCTCGTGGTTCATGTACGTCGCTGCTTTCCATAATTTCCCTTCGCCCGCTTTGTCGAGGAATTGTTTCCAATGAGATGCCTTAACCCTTTCAATGGTCCGAGTCCATGCCCGCCGTGACTGGGGCATGTCCTCGAACAGCACCATGGTGCGGGGGTGGTCTCGTCCAACCTCAGTGCAGTACTGTAATCATGTCTCCTATTGAGTCAATTCCTTTGAAGGCAGGGAAACATGACGCTCCGCATACGGTCAACAGCGATAGCCTGAAGAGCTTTCTCAGCCATATCAGTGTGCTAGCTGCAAGCTCTGAATCTCAACTCGCATCAGTCGTGCTTAGTGAGATTGCCCAACACCGGAACAAATTCAATACAGAGATGACGAGCTGAAGAAAAGCCAACAGCGAGATCCTTGATATAAAGAAGAGGAAAACAATCACTATTGAAGAGATGTTTGCTGTCAACGAGAACGAAAAGGTGAAGCAGAAAGAATCCCTTGCGCAGATCAAATCGCTACGTTCCACAATCGATGAAAAAGATGTATATTTGCTGGTAGATCTTAAAGGACTTGACGTCGACGCTAAACATCAACAGTGAATCCTCGTTTAGCTGGACCATTGAGATCGAAAAGAATAAGTAATGAAACACGCGTATTCAGACCCGACTCAGCCGACGCCGCTGGCGCCGAAGAAATAAGCATCAACTGCCTTCAGGTTACCATCAGGATATACGATAACCAAGCCCAGCTCGCTGAGGGTGATAACCTATACGAAGAGGCTGCCAAACTAAGGTCTATACCGCACCGTGCCCACTAATAGCATGGCCCGAGATAGGCAGGGGAGGACGCTGCACTCCCCAATCACCCCCTTTGAGCTCTTGCGCGTAGAATCGAACCAGGAGACCGACGGAAACCGGACCAATGATGGTATTCAAAAGAATGGCCCAGACGCCAGTGTAGAAACCTTCGTCACTGACGTACGGAGTTTCGTTGTGTCCGATTTCGATTATCAAAAGCCCAATCTCACCGCGTGCTACCATGGCAGATCCTAAAAGTGTTGCGGCGAGCCAGGCCCGATTCCACCTTTTCCCATTAGTTTGCTTGCTTTGTTTTTCGTGGCTTGTGTTGTCCTCATTTTTGGGTTGTCCTGGTCCTTTCTGCTGTTCATGTTGCTCTTTCTTGCTTTGGGACTTGCCCCCCAGAACGAGTTGCCATATGGGGATCCAGATTCCGACAACACACTAGATAGATTTGTTAGCTCAACTTCTAAAAAATGACTGAGGGTATCGATATACCTTTGCAAACGCCATGAGGAGGGTGTAAACCACCCCTCTCCAAATTTGTTTCCCCGTCCACAGCTTCAAGAATGGAATCGCGAAGCCGATACTTGCGAAGAACAAAGGTTCCATCAAATACTGCTGAGGTCCTAACAGATATTTCTCAAAGGTATGAACGAAGGTGGGGCTTTTTTCCGCCTCGCGCTCGCCTTCCTCGCGGCTCATGACAACAAATGGTCCTTCGGGGTGCTTGCTCGGTATGTAAGTGAGAAATACACCTGCCAAAAAGGCACCAAATAGAACCGATGTACCAGTAAATCCAGCGATGGCAATAAACGCCGAAAGAACGAGGGTCATAAGGATGATGTTGGAGATATGGTCGAATCGCGCAAAGCGGTGTTCAATGAACTTTCGGAAGAAAGGCGCAAATATCCATTTGGTGACGATGGGCGTTACGACGGCCATGCCTATCGATGCCACTATCGGGCGCCCGATAAGCCAGCCTAGGTTGACATTGTTGTCCTCGCCTGAAAGTTTGCCCAAGTCGCCAATCACACTATGTAGTTAGCTGATGAATTGACCTCACATTTTGCTCCAGTTCAAATAAGTACCACACCTTAACATAACAAGTCCTACAACATCGTCAATAACAGCAGCGCTCACTAAAACGGACCCCACTCGAGTCTCGGCGAGGTTGACCGAGCTCGACGCAGAGCTGATCACAGCAAAGGTGGTCCCTAATATTTATCAGCAATTGAAACATAGTCACCCCAATTCCGAGGAAAGGTAGCTTACCGAGTGAAGTAGCGGAAAGAGATGCGCCGATGATGAAGGTCTCAACCGCGCCTAGTCCATGTTAGCTGTTGACTGTAGGAATTGAGGCAAATAAAACCAACCATATCCGAAACCAAGATAGAGCAAAAGGTATGAAAGACCAATAGGAAATAAAACTCCAGTTGCGGCGCCGATCATACTCAAAGTGAAGTTCTGCTTGAGCAAGTCCACACGCGCGCCAAGACCGCCTAGAAGGGATGACATCAGTGTCCAAGAAGCCAAGAAGCCAAGCAGCCAGGTAAGATGAAAATTTCCACTCACCTTCGAAAATGATCAAAATCAGACCGACATATCCAAGAGTAACAAAAGTCTCTTGCCAGTGATGTTCAAGGATATTGGCCAAAGGTACTCCGTAGATGATGCCGACGGCGATTTGACCTATAATTCCGGCCTGGATTGCCGTCGCGGAGACCCATCTTGCAAGGGAAAGGAAAAAGAAGAAAGAAACGACAATGAGAATGTCGATAGCTGCAGTAATTTATCAGTGAGGAAATGAGCAGAGATCAATCGGCATATGCTTGTGTACATACTTCCAGGCTCGTGGTATGGGAGGAAACCACTGGCCATGCTCGAGGTTTGTCTTTAACCTTGTAGCAAAGATTGAAGAAGAATGAAGAATGGGGAATTGTAAACTAAGTTGAAGAGTGGTCCCTCACAATCTTGGAACTAGTGTGGGTGAATTTGAAGAAACCATTGGATTACCGGAAACGAAACTTCACCATCCACTCAGCCCTACCGAGGTACTCACCTCGCATTACACCGTAGTTACTAACCTAATTCACTAGTTCTACCCAAGTGCCTTTTATATGTGAGTCCCTAATGAAAGTGATTTGCGACAGTGCCAGAACTGCGAATTTGTGTAACATTACCTACTAACCCTAGGTGCCCATGGACGGGCGATGTCGCAGTCTAGATGGCCTAATCCTCTACCAAAGGCATTATGTTGCATGTATGTGGGAACCTTTCAGTAAACGCTAAAAGATTTGGGATCGCCCTCATTCTGATAGAGACCGGCCTCTCTGTCAAATAGAAAAAAGTGTCTTGAGATACCACAACGGGCGTGCAGCAGCTTTCTAGCCTACTAGTTAGGATATTACCCACGGCAAAGAATCACATGATTAAACACAGCGGTTAAAGCTCTGATTGGCGAACATGCTTGCAAGGTTACACTTAAATTTTAACTCTATCATCGAGAGAGCTGCAGATTTCAGGCTGCAACACGAATGTAGAGTCGCCAAATTGTTCGCTGTTAGCATCCATCGGTGAAGACTGCATCAAAGTGAAGTCGATTAGCCGAGGTGGATTTACTGTAAATAGAGCGACTCAAAAAATACGAGAAGAATAGTATTGAGATCCAATCTATTGCTTCTACTGCTCTTTCTACCTATCTACATATTTAGTGGGTGAGAAAACAACTACCGGGACAGCGCGGTCCCGAATAATCGAGCTCATGAGCCCAAACATCCACAATTCATTCTCAGTACCTCCAGATATCCACAATTTCCAGTTTTGATTTTTCGAGTCCTTTTTTCAAGTCCTTTGAGTGAGTTTTTTTCTCGTGATGTGTGCGCTAAGACTAAGTGGCGGTTTGTTCCCCGGCCCCGTTTGATGTCAGGCCAGGGAAAGCATTCGTTAGGGTTGCTCGGGGACCTCTTCCAACGGAGTTAACTGCGGATGTTTTCGGGCTCTGCGACGGAAGAAGACTCGCTTAGCCCATTTCCAGGCTTCGACTCCGATGAAGAACAGGACAGCCTCGACTGCCACGATACCCCATTCCCAGGTGATAGGTTTATGTTTGAAGACGACGTCATTCAAAACGGGGATGTAGAGAATAGGGAACATGGTGATCCATCCGGCCATGATGGACCAGAAGAGGAACTTGTTCCGCCAGACGTCGTACATCCACTGGGTAAAGTATTTCTTGGATTTTGGTTGCATGCGGAAGAACGACCGGCGCAGGTTGACCATCTCCCAAGCCAGAAAAAGCGCAAACCAAGTTAAGCACACGAATGTGGTGGCACGTGCTCTAAATACCAGTTCGCAGTCTTTGATCTCTTCAGACCACTCTTTGTTGCAGCCACGGGCCAGGTTACCGTCGCCGAATCCCCACATGCGGACAGAAAATGCCGCCAGGCAGAGCGCTGCGGTCCAGATACCATACACCAGAATGTCAATAATCACCTCCCAAGAGAATATGCCTTGCTTACTCTGGGGAGGACGGTTCATGATGTCAGGAGCAGCCACCTCCATTCCAAGGCCCATGTCGGGCATACCCGATGTAATCATAATAATCCAGAGAATTTCGACCGGTGACAGAGGGAAGACGGATTGTTTATCAGCATCTTTGAAAGCTAATCCGACAAGTAAGGTGCAGGCCTGAGCGATGTTCTCTGACAGTAGATGAAGCACGAATTTTTGAATATTATCAAAGATACGACGACCTTCTTCGACGGCATTGAGAATCGAGGCGAAGTTGTCATCCGTGAGAATAATGTCAGACGCATCTTTGGCAACATCCGATCCTGCCTGTCCCATAGCGATACCAACATCGGCATGCTTGAGCGAAGGAGAATCATTGACTCCGTCTCCAGTCATAGCCGCAAAGCGACCACGGCGATGAAGGGCGTCGATCATGCGCACCTTGGTCTGCGGGGCGCAGCGTGCAATGACTAAAGGCAGAGTCGGAAGCGCATCTACCTGCTCATTAGTGAGGTTGTCGAATTGACTGGCAGTCATGACCATGGCGTCCGCGACATCAGCCGCCACTGCATTAAAATCAGGAGGAAGGATTCCTACTTGCTGAGCAATCGCTTTGGCAGTGCCAGGGTGATCGCCAGTCACCATGTGGACAACTATACCAGCGCGGTAGCAGGCCTGGATTGAGCCCGCTGTCTCTGGGCGCGGAGGATCATACAAGCCGATCAGTCCCAGGAAGCATAGATCCTTCTCTACATCTTCACGATTCAGGTCGGAATCTTCGAGCAGTTGTGTCTGGGTAGTGTACGGTCGATGGGCCAGAGCCAAGACCCGAAGTCCCAGCTTGGCGAGTTCCTCCATGTTCTGGATGATCTTTTCGCGGTGGTCGTTGGTCATTGGCACGGGGCTAGACGAATCTTGGTCCCATATAACAGAGATGCATGAATCTACAATGCGCTCGACCGCACCCTTGGTGAACACCATTGTCCGGGTCTCTTGTTGGGTGACTTTGCTGAAAATCACAGACATTTTCTTAACGGTTGAGTCGAATGGAAATTCAGCCTGTTGGTGCCATACTGTACCCTGACCCTTTTTGATCCAGCGGTCGCGGTTCCAGTTGAACCTCGATGCAAAGACATGAATGGCAATTTCTGTGGGTTCACCCCGTGCGTTCCAATCGCCCTCTTCGGACTTGTACACGTGAGAGAGATTGGCCATCGAGGCGACGTCCAGAAAGTCTTCGAGCTGGCGGTTTCCCGAGACCAAACCTTCTGCGTTCTCCGTAGCAGTATCTTCTTTCTCATAATCCAATTGGGAAGGAGGTACAGGGGTGAAAGTGACATTTCCAACAGTAGGATTGAAAGGCTCGTTAGATGGGCCCACGGAATACGTCCCTCGAGACGGAATCCATGCCTTTTGGACAACCATTTTGCCCTGAGTCAATGTACCTGTCTTATCGGAACAAATATCTGTGACTGCACCGAGCGCTTCTAGTGAGTCTAATTTGCGAACAATTACGTTTCGCTCGACCATGCGTTTCGTACCCACTGCCATAGTGATTGTAAGCACGACCACCAGGCACGCCGGAATCATACTGATACCGGTTGCAACAGCATACATGATGACTTCGGTGTTGTTGCTAAATTTGTTTGCAGCCATGCAGACAATGGCGAACACAACGGCAATTCCAAATAGTAAACAGGCAAGCTTTGACAGCTTCCTCTGTAAGGGCGTTCCGACATTGACACCGAGGAATCGACCCACGGCATCCGCCCAGGTGAGACTCCAGGCCTGGACGTACCAGCGTTTCTTGGCCTCACCGTTGGGACCCCGCTTGACCTCACGACGCTTACTGCCGCTGGCCCGTAATGCGAGGGCAATAGATCCGATTTCTGTGAACATGCCCGTACTGACAACCACACCACGCCCACGGCCACGAGTGACGGTACTGGAACTGTAGGCAATATTAAGGCGGTCTCCGGGACCGGTATCCCCTTTGAACGTCGAGTCGCATTCCTTCTGGACGGGAAGAGACTCGCCAGTCAGGAGAGCTTCATCGGTCTCGAAGTTGACTGCTTCAACTAGGCTGATATGTGTTAGCAAATTGGTCAACAACTGCCCTGATAGCTTCGAACCCGCAGTTACACTCTGATAGGAAACTCACCGAATATCAGCTGGAACGGTATCCCCCGTTCTAAGCTCGACCATGTCACCCGGCACGATTTCCGACGACGGCACCGAGAATGTCTGTCCACCTCTCGAGACGGTTCCCGTCGGGGACGAGAGTGAATGTAACGACTCCATGGTCTTTTCTGCGGCGTACTCCTGAAAGAATCCAACAATGATGTTCAAAACAATGACAGCGCAGATCACTCCGCCCTCAATCCACGACTGTATTCCGAAACTGACCGCCATGGCCAGAATCAACACCTACAACAAACGACTAGATCAGAATTGGACAATTTTCAACCAGTTTCCAAAATGTCATTGCAAAAGATAGCGGTCTCTTACTAGCATCATAGCGTTGGCCACTTGGCGCACGAAAATTTTCAACAACGACACACCTTCCCCTTCGTCCAGTTTATTGGGACCATATTGCTGGAGACGACGACTCGCTTCTTCAGGGGCCAGACCCTCGTCCAGTTCAGTGCTGAGTTCTTTAATCACGGCTTCGTAAGTTAACGTGTGAGCTGGCTGGCTTAGTGGGCTGCCGCCCGACCCGGAGTCGAGGGCGATGTTAGGCTTCTCGTCAAGCATTGGGAGATTGTTTTCCGGAGAGTAGCTAGCTTTCGCTCGTTGGAATGACTACCGAGATGTTGCACATCCGTCTTTTATTCTGGAGCAATTGGAGAGTTGAACAAAATGTAGCTCAGTGCGGAGAGGAACGATGTTCTTTGAGTCTCAGGCGAAAATTCCCACTCTTGCTCGAGTGAGGAAGTCGGTGTGGCTGCCCAGGTTTAGCTTTGGCCTATCGCTGGGTCACCACCCAGGTCGGCCGGTTTCAGGAAACCGTCATTGGAAGAGATGTTGGTCTTGGCGCCGAGACGTTGGGCTGGGTCTGTAAGTCGGTCTCCTCCGTCATCAGGCAATAATAGTGCCAAGAAACCCTCCAAGTGCCAAGATTGAGTTATTCGGTACCAAGAGCGCCGAGAATGCCTAGTCCCCGCAAACGGAGAATTGCCAAGAATAAGGAGGGGGTGAAATTTTGAGTTTTGGCTGGTGAGTTGGCCTCGTGATGTAACAACGCACAGATCTGCTTACATCCTTCTCTCGGCTGGTCCCTAGGCAAGACAAATTATTAAACGGATCAAAGTACGTTGAGTTAGGTTTAGTTTCGCATACACGACTATTGTTTCACAAACCTTGGAGCAAGCCCAGTTGGCTGATCCACGACGCCAGAACATGCCTAAGTGTCTTCAAAAGTTACTTCAGTCAGCATCAAAACATTTTGGTTCTTGCACCCACGAAAGACAACACGAAAGCCCTAGCGATCGCAGACTCAATCAAGCTCAAATAGCTCGAACTCCCATCGACTCAGAAGTGAGACTAGAGACGACCGAAAGCATGCGTCCACTTCCGACAACTACGAAAAGAAAACGTGGCTTTGGAAATAGAAGGTTCATGCTCGAGAATGGGGATCACTGCCACTTCCTGAAAACGCCATCGTCGAAAAGACGGTTTCTTAAAAAAGATCGAAACGCGAGCTGGATATCCTTCAAAAAAAAAAATAAAGCCTGCTCGCAACCGTCGGCGGATTTGGAATGGGAGCAATGGACCGCGAGTCAACAAACCGGCATCGTGGCTGGTGAAAACATGGCAATCCTAGCGCAGAAATATGGGGATATATGCGATATCGTGGGTCACGGCTCATCTGGAATCATCCTCTTGTCGCACAAAGCCCAAGAGTGGAACCCGAATATTCATCGCTTTTACGCGCTCAAAGTCTTCCGCCGCGGAGCAGAATTAACTGAAACAGCTTATCGGAGGCGCGTTGAGTCCGAGTTTGACATATCCTCTTCATTGCAACATCAAAATATTGTTCGGACGTTTGAATTGCTTCGAATAGGTAATGACAGTTTTTGCGAATGCTTGGAGTATTGCTCCGGTGGGGATCTTCATTCATTGCTAGTTACATCCGGTCAGTTGGAAGAGGGAGAGGCCGACTGCTTCTTTAAACAGCTCATGCGTGGCGTCAACTATATCCATGAGATGGGAATTGCTCATCGCGACTTGAAGCCCGAGAATCTTCTTCTCAGCCCCAATGGTTGCCTCAAGATTTCCGATTTTGGGAGCGCTCAATGTTTCCGCCTTGGTTGGGAGCCCCATATACATATGTCCAGGACACATGGCGGATCACGCCCTTTTGTATCGCCGGAACAATATTTTTGCGAGGAATTTGATCCTCGATCAGTCGACATTTGGGCTGCAGCTATAACCTACGTTGTGATGAGAACAGGTAGGATTCCATGGAAGATAGCGACCGATCAAGATGAGTATTTTCGAGACTACGTCGCAGACCGTATGGTTGAAAAAGGGTACTTCTTTATTGAGGAAATATGCAATGTTCGTTACTTTTCTCCTGTCTTATCTGGTTGGTGTGCTAACTCTGCAGCAATAGGTAGCAAGCCGACGAGTGATATATTCGATGCTGGATATTGACTACGTGCGCCGGCCTCTATCATCTGAAATTCTTGGTTCTCGATGGCTACAAGAGACTAAAACCTGTACAACCGCTGAATCAAGACCACTTTAGCTAGGTGACTTTTATCTATGACAACAATTACTGCTTGCTTCTCATCCCCGCGGAGCTTCTTCACACCTTCCGCAATTAGCTGTCTGTAAATGTATGGGAATAAGTAGGGGCGGGGAGAAACATGAGAGCTACTGATAATTATCATTTTAATCATACAGAGAACTCAGCTACGGCTACGATTTCGCCCTCGCCCACCGGTTGTCCGAATGTATATGGGCAATCAACAGATGCACTGCTGATGCCCTCGAACCTCTCGACAACTTTCCCTATATACTCGACTCTGGAATACCCAACACCGTCCACTAACTATGGAAAACAACCGACATCCAAGAGTATTCTACGGAAATGAAACCGTCACACGAGTCATGGAAGACCATGCTCAAGCCCCAAAATCACACTGTCAAGCTCTGGACTGACGATGACACCCTCAAATTCATCAGGTCCTAATACGACGCCCGTCCACTGCCGAGGTACATGGGATATCTTCACAATATCCAACTTGCTCACATTGCCAGACTGCTTTTCGTCCATACCAAAGGCGGCATCTACGCAGACCTAGATGTTTACCCCAGGTCAGCCGAGTACACACAATGCCTTCAATATCTTGGGTTGCAAGCAATATTCTCCCCGGAGGCCCACGAGGCGAAGCGGCCGGGCCGGGGGGGGGGGTGTCGGCTGACGTCGCGATGAATAGTTCTGTCGCACCTACAGATCTTTTGGTCTACGGGGCCGATAACGTTGGCGGCGGCGCTTATAGATATTCCTGGCTATACGGCACACGATGGGACGTCACAGGGTCGTAGGACTTCTAGCCGAAGTGTATGGACTACCGAGATGCATGCCTATCACTAGCTGGAGAATTAAACAAAATGCAGTTCTGCGCGACGGGCAAAGGTGTTCTTTTATGTCTCCGCCCGTGTGAGGAAGTCGGTGTGTGCCCCATATTTAATATTTTGTCCCCTATCACCTTAATACCTGGGTTGCCACCCATGTCGGCCGGTTATAGGGAACCATTATTGAAAGAAACAGGGTTATGACCTTGGCGCCGAGATATTGGGCCGTATCTGTGAGATGGTCGCCTCGCCTCGTATTGGATAGTCATCGGGCAGTCAATTAAAATCGAAGAGATGCCTGGTCGTGGCAACTCCTGCGGGGCTCATCAAATGCTTACCCAACTGAGAATTGCCAAGGCGTTGTTGATTTTTGGGGAAATCAATTGTTTCCTACTATACATGAACTATGACTGTATGTACTATCAGACATGACTGTGCAGGATTGGGTATTGCTACCCCGCCAGTTGAGCCTTTCAGAGTTGAATTCCTATATATACGGCCAAGAGAAAACATGGAATGGGAAGGCAGTTCACAAATGACCACATTTGACCTGAAGCGGTGAGATTGATTCTCGGTATTTTCTGCAGTAGCTGCACTACATCTTCCCCACGGTCAGACCTGAATGCCGAAAGTGACTCTCTGCACTTCTTCTCTTGCACTGACCATGTCAACACACCATTCAAGGAAGCTGGAGGGTAACAAATTGAGGAGTTAAATTTTTGGGGTTGTCCACGTGGCCACAATCTAACAGACACTTGATTGGCTCACATATGAGAAAGAAAATCGTGGTGGTATGCGTTTTGAGCTCCAAGGCACAAGCTTTATCGAAGACTGCGGTCCGCATTTGAATCATGGAGTATTGGTTTCTGAGGCTTGAAGTATCAATTGCAGCATACACTACACCCAATGAGACCAGCAACCATCTTCAGACCATATTTGAAGATTTGAAATTCCATCTTCCCGCATATTATGCTATAGTGTCGAATACTAAGATTGAATACATGGGTGGAAACAAGGTATAATACCCAGAAAATCATGTGACAACTGGTACCAAGCATACCATACAAAAGTGCATATTACAGTTAGTCATCTATGTCCGCCCAGATTGTTGAAAACGCGGGTTTTGTCATTTTAGTTAGAGATTCCAATATATCTGTTTTTGACCATACGTTGTCGTACCGACAGATTTCTGTCATAAATGTAGGGGTCCAATCAATGGTATTCAACTCTCTGTATTTCTGTATCGGCTCTCTACACAATTTATATGGAGCCTCAATTACATAACATAGATTACAAAACACATGTAGGATTAATAAATCCTCCGGTATGCCGGTGTTACTGCGCCGACAACCTGTTTGTGCCTTATTTATAGACCTTGTAATGGAACCGCGAGAGACGCGGTGAGAACCGGGAGTTCCACAAAAAGTGCAAACAGGAATTATGCAAAAGTACAGTCGTATGTTTAGTTGTAGTATCAAGCAGTTCTACACATAACTAGTATATTAAGTAAATTAAGTATTAATCTAGGAGTATGACCAGATAGGCTTAGTTAGTATCAATATTATAGTTAGTCCAATAGAGAATTACTAATTTTCTAGTGTAGAAAAAAACTTCCTGGCCTCGAGCAATCTGTGTTCGAGTATTGGGTTATCATTTTTCCATCTCGCAGAGTGAAGGGTGGTGGAGGAGTGGAGTTATATATAGACCTCTCGGATGTGTTGTCACTGACATCCTTTCGTTGTCAGTAAGGTTGAAAGAAATCAGGGTCTGTCTTCAATTGAAACTTGTTGAAAACTGTGTCTAAACTCATACACCAACATGTTGAAGCAACATTTCGGTTATAAGTCAAGATGACTAGGCTCATGTCCCCGCAGCCTTCTAATGTGTGGCCTTGTGGTGCAATAAGCGATAAGAGCCCTTCGGTCATCAAATTATGTTCTACTTTATTCGGTTATTTCCCACTATAGGTCTTCTTAATCATGAGATGTCTCCCGGGCTTCATGGGAGTCTCCTACAAAAAAGATTTTTATGTATGTTGTCAGAAATATGGTGGATTTGCATGTGGATTTCTGGGTATTTACCCAGAATATCTTATGGCAACGATATTTTACGACAACAATATCAGACACCTCAGATGAAAGTGCATATTACTCTTCGTCAGCATGTCCTACAAAATTGTTAATTTCATAGTTAGTTAACTAGTTTTTAGTTATTTAGAGTTTGATATTACCATTCTGGAACCCATACAATCTTGGTCACGGATTTCTGTCATATGTTAATATAGTGAACGATAGGCTCAAATTTAAATGTCCTGCAGGGATATGTCTGACGCGCTCACCATTCCTCTCATCACCGACTCCCCGACCAACGCTGGCTGAATGTCCGTATCTGGACGTCATTTTGCAGCTTAGCTTTGAGAGAAATGTTGTATCATGCGGACAACCAAAACCGTTATCATTGGATCATATCGTGCCTGGCATTAGACTTTCAGAGTTATTCAATCTGGACAGCATTGCCTGGCCTCTTATACAGTTTGCATATAACCATAAACCACCCATTTGATGGTTGCTGTAGTCTTCCCGCGTCTCATCTGCCAGCCAAATGGCCATGCAAAGCTGACCACATCGATCAGCAGAGGGGACTTTAAAGCCACCGTCACAAGGTGGCCATCCTTCTAGCGTCAATTACCCACAGAATCCGGGCGCATAGGCAAAATCTGTGTTATCCAATATGGCCACATAGGGGTTGCATCCCTCACGTTTCCTGGGGTTTAAAGTAAGCGCTGGAGATTGTCGCGACGCGATAAACCGCGTTGGCAGCCAGGTACCCAGAAACATGGGGTCCTTCTCCCGAATGACTTACCAGATGACATGAAAAGTTTGAAAAGTTTGAAACGAGTTTTCCAAACCAAAAGAATGCATTCGAACTGGGCGCTGCTGACTGGAAAAGCCCTGATGCTCGAAATGATGTGTTCCTGCGCTCCGTGAATTAGACTAGGAACTTGTCGGAAGACTTGGCAGGGCTCGGTATCATGCGTATTTGAACTGTAAACCTGCGGCTTTTTAAGCAACCATAGACAGGGACCGTTGATAATTTGTGGGGCTGGCGAAGCCTAGTATGAGGGGAAGTTTGCAGCATGGTCGAAGTAACCAGAAGACGACCTCAGCAGATGCGTTTTCAAGCGATCTGAGCTGGCGCATATGCGAACCAAGAGATCATGGGCCGAAATTCACAATGGTTGAAAGCTGGATTGATCGAATGGCCCGTGTGTAGAGCATGAGGACCACCAAACCCGCCCTGGTCGCGCTGCGACGAGTATGTTGAGGACCGAGAAAGAAGTCGAGACATGTCATTCTAGATAAACTCCGTTCCAGACCTGTTGACAGAAGCAGGCTGTTTAATCGCCCTGTGCTGTGCAAAGTTGCAGCAGAGTTCGTGCGTATCATCGAAAGTGACGGTCTGTTCACTTGCTTCAGGTTGCACGGGAATAAGCGTGTTCTGTTGCTCGCTTTGTGGAATCGCCCCTGATAACAACATTTTCTCCAAGTCGGTATACCAAGGACAGAATGGCGACGAATGCTGCTCAGCGTTGCTCGATTGTGAGGATTGATCACCTAGTTTGCGGCACTTTCGTGGGAATCTACCAAGCTTTATAGAATAATCTTCTCCGTGAAGATGTTCACCCCAAAGAAAGGAAGACAAAAGATAAAAATCAGCGATTCATCACGGTTGAAAGTTGAGCAAGGCCTTGGAGAACAAAGACAAATATGTGTGTAAAAGAATATAGAATAAAGAGAGGCAATAAAGGCTCGTCACGGCAACTCGAAGTCACCAAGAACAGGACTAAGATTTATGCATCAGCGCGAGGCATTTTGGAGGCCCAGTCCTCATACATCACGTAACATGGGATATAAGACTGCCTCGCTTTTACGCCTGAAGGGCTCCTCCTTGGTCTGCTCGGTAGAGACACACGCAGTCCCTGTCTCAACACCGTCCATGAAATCGAGTTCTGGGGTCGGAGAAGTAGAGGCAGAGGAGCTCTGTCCTCTAATCCCTGCATTGAAGCTGCCAGCCTCCAACAGCTCGGAGACGAGGCGACGCAAGTTTTCAAGGAGACGAACCTTCTCCACCCAGGCGACACTGACATCCCGCTGGGCTGCTTCCAGGTTGGGCTCGGGTGAAGTGCTAGGGTGCCGAACGGGCAAGCTCCCCGAGATGTGGAGAGCGAGATGCACCTTGATGGAAGAGCGTTTACCGTCATACTTGCTATCCTGCAGAATACCCATGTAGCTCTTGGTAGCAGCTCGCTTGGCCGGTTGGGCGCGTTGCAGGGTGCCGCCGGTGTAGCAGCGACGGTCGTTGTGGTCGTGTGCTCCGCCCAGGGCGGATGGCAGTGCTCTACTTGGCGCGGTCGGGTAGTCTGTAGGAATCTTGTCGGCGACAGTGGCCGACGGCAGACAAGGGTACATGCCACCGCCGCTCTCGTGAGGGGGTGACACGCGCTGGACGTGATGCATGGAGATCGGAGAGCGTTGCGAGGTATATGACTGTGCGCTGGGAGGTGGGGTCAGAGCAGAGGTACGGACGAACGGGGAGGCCGAAGCGGCCATCATGGGGGCGGCCTGGGAGCTCGCAGTGACGTGGCTTGCCGGGAGCTGGAGCGGAGGAGAGTGGATAGCACGGTAGTTCATGCCACCGAGTATGTAGTGAGCACCGGTCTGGGTGCCACCAGCAGCAGCTATGTTCTCAGAACTGTCGTAAATGGTGTTCTGCATTTGCTCGAGGAACTGATCGATGTTGATCAGGTCGTTCTTAGTCCGAACACTGGACATAGGAGGAAGGTGATAGCCAGGAGCCTGGGAACCACTGGGTCTGTAACCGCCGCCGTAGCCGACCGCGACAGACGCAGGCATATGCTCGTATTCACTCAAACGGCCATTCAAAATGGGAAGCTGAAAAGTCTGCAGTCCCAGCAGACGCTGGCCGACCGCAGCATAGGAGTTAGGGTCGAACTGGCGGCGCTTCAAGTCGCCAAAGAACTCGTTCAGTGCATCGTAGCCACGCTTTCGGCCGTAGTTATGGCTTCCATCTTGTCCATGGTCCAAGGCAGAGCATAATTTACCGTAGGAATGCGGGTTTGCGGGATGAAGGTGATTGTGTGGCTGGTAGTACTGCGGTGCTCCATGTGTATATCCGCCATTGACGGCATTGAGAGGGCTCTCAAAGTAGTGAGTAGCGGCAGCATAACCTAAACGCTATAGTTATTAGTCAATGGTCCAACTTTAGGGATTTGATGAACTTGAGCGGTGAGCACCGGTGATCCACTAGGTCCATGTGACCTAATAGGGGCAAACGATGCGACATCATCCAAGGGAGTAACGCGATGCCAAGCGGCGAGAGCGCGCAGAACAGACTTAAGGAGACCTGACTAACCTGTCGAGCTTCGCGGGAACATCATATCGGGGTGCTTTATGCCGGATTCAGGAGACCGGATCTCTGAATTGTCAGCGTGGGTCTGGACATGCTTCTTCCGATCCTGGGGACGCTTGAAGGCCCTGCCGCAGAAATCGCACTTGTGGGGTTTGAGGGGTACATGAACAAGAATGTGGGAGGTGATATGATTACGCTTGACAGTGGTGGTATTGCAGGTACCCCATTGGCAAGTCAAGTTGAGGTTGTTAGTGCTCTTGCGGCCAACATGGCGGTCGCAGACATGCCTCTGTATGGCGGCCCTTAGCATCTTTCCGCGCCGTTGATCTCGGGCGACAAGCTTACGTGGAGGGCCTCGGCGGTAGGAGACTTTTCAGTGCAGCCGGCCCATTGACAGGGCAGCTGCTCGCCGGCGCCGTTAATAGAAGAACTGTTGACAGCAGCGGTGGCATCTGTCTTAAGGGGGCCGGCTTGTTCACTGCCAGCGATGGGCGCAGGAATAGTGGCTAGCGGCGTGGTCGAGGCAATCTTGCTTTCCGCCATGATGTCAAGAAATGGATCTGGGCGTTGGCGGAAAGCCTAGGCACGATTTTCGGGTATGAACAGTTGGAATGAAACAACGTCCAACCGTGTGACGATCAGAAATGATATACAAGCACTTAAGCAGAGGGGAAACAATAATTTGTTACCCAATTGTATACGTATAGGGCGGGAGAAGGGGGGAGGTGGGGAGATGTGTCTAAATAAGAGAGAAAAGGAAAGTAAAGAGAAAGAACAAAGGGAAAATTTTGGTAGTTCTTCTCTGCAAGAAGAAATAGAGGGGGGAAAGAGTCGAGATTTTGTCCAGAAGTAGCCGCTTTGCTAAGCCGAGCGGAGGCGTGACAAGACAAGACAAAGGAGACCGGGCCAAGAAAGAGTCTGCGGGTCCCAAGGTCTGAGACGCGCTGCGTCATCAACCAGAGCGGAATCGAGAGGGGGTGAGTATTTTGCATTCCGGTGCCAATACTATCAATATAGGGCCGAGTACGTATAGTTCATTGCTTCCGTGCTATTCCTTTCCATGAGAGACATGTTGAGAGAAAAGAATCATGATATCCACGTGGAGACATGATATATTAGCATCTCATTTGGAATAGCGCAGTCTTTCGGGATCATACCTCCAACCGTCCAGCTAATTCCAAGGACTTGATTCCCTCACTCCACGTATAGGACACTGTTTCGAAGTATAATCATAGAACAGTCAAGGTGGCAACCATCAGAATCAGGTTACTTCGCTCAGTCAGAACACCTGAGAAAACATGGGGCGATGCTTCTTGTCAGCCTAGTGATTGCTTTGTGGCAACAGTTCCCGCTCAGAGGGCCAAGACTCGACGTCACTGATCTTGATATGTTTTGGGGTATTTTCTGTTTGGACTATTTCAGATCCCAATTCACAATGCCAATATCCCGTAGTGAAAAGTCTTCCTGCAAACCACACGGCTGCACAGCTGCCCAGAAATTTGCAACCAGCAGTGACATGATGCCAAGGGTAGTCTGTGCGTCCGCCGAGAAACCTAGACTTCCAAGGTTCTTGGCGCCCACCTCGAACCCAGTTCAAGCTCTATTAAACATGCAATCGCAGGCCAGCACCCAGGAACGTGCAAATATACCCAAAATGACTGGGCTAGGTGATCCATAAATAGTATATCATCGCCAGAAGACGTGCTTTGTTTGCTCTTGGCGTCCGCTCACAAGGCTTGGCTCCAACTTGCACCTGTCCTTGGTCATGAGAGAAAGTCGCCTTTGGCTCAACCAATGACCGTTGGATATCAAGTACACGCTGTCAATTAATTCTGTATTATGGGCTACGACTGGAATGGGCAGGGCAAACTCAACATGAATCCCGCACTTGGCAATGTCGTGGCGAGCTTGCAGTTCGTATAATGGCACCATAAAATCTGGACATTGGTAGACTTGCCAATATCAATTCCTTTTTTCATTCTTCAGTTTTTCCTTGTTGTGTAGTCAAGACAGCCAAGCCCTTCTTCGCCATGGCATCGCTAGTAACCGCGAAGTATGACTGGATTTTGGCCATTACCACCATCGCTTTCGTGTTCAGTGCCTTCGGTAACGGTGCCAACGATGTCGCCAACGCTTATGCCACTTCCGTCGCAGCCCGAACGCTCAACATGGCCACGGCCGGTGTCCTGGCTATATTCACCGAGTTCATCGGCGCAGTAGCCATGGGCAAACGAGTCACCGATACAATCAAGAACGGCATCATCGACATCGACCGCTTCGAGGGCAAGCCTGGTGCGCTCATGTTGGCTATGGGCTGTGCAGAAATTGGCAGCGCTACATGGTTGATGGTCGCCACTCGCATGGGCTGGCCTGTTTCGACAACGCAGACTATCGTCGGTGCCCTCGTTGGTGTTGGTTTTGCCTCCCAGGCTTCTATCAACTGGGGCTGGTCAGATGGCAGTGTCTCCCAGGTTGCTGCATCTTGGGGTATTGCCCCTCTCGTGGCAGCTGCGTTCTCGGCTATAATATTCGGTACTCTCAAGTACAGTGTCCTTGAACGTCAAGATTCATTCAAATGCGGCATGCGTATGATCCCAGTCTACCTTGCATTTACGGGAGCTATCCTCGCCCTCTTTATCGTCATCGAAGCCCCCACAGCACCCTCATTGGAAGAGTTCGGGGCTGGCAAAGCAGCCGGCATCATTGTGGGTGTGTTCGTCGGTTGTCTCATCATTGCCTATGTCTTCTTCAGGCCATATTTCATCCGCCGTCTCATCCGAAACGATCCCCGCGTCAAGTTCTATCACCTCCCTCTCGGCCCCCTTCTGCTCACAGAAAATCCACCGCTATACTTCCCGGGAAAAAGCGATGAGGTCGTGGTCAACTACTATGAGGATGCCTACGGGGAAGTGCAAGCCGGGCACAACGATGAACACAAGGAAAAGTTCACATCAAATGCAGACTCTGTCGTGCCCACGCCGGAGATTACAGCAATGTCCAGTCCGTCACACAAAGGGGATGACGAGGAGAAGATCACACCGCAAAGCCAGCCACGGAAGAAGCATCTCGAACCAACTGAACGTTTCATCGATCCTGTCCGACACCTCCCCTGGACAAACCCCCAGAAGGCATATGGTTATCTCAAGTACATTCTCCTTCAGGGCGTAACGCGTGATGTGGTTTCACACGACTCGCCTGAGCTGCGGGCAATCCACGCACGTGCCAACCGGTATGATGACCGCGTCGAACATCTCTGGACATACTGCCAGGTCGTGTCGGCTATGATGATGTCAATTGCACACGGCTCGAATGATGTGGCCAATGCTGTTGGTCCCTGGTCTGCTGTGTACAGCACATTCAACGCTGGATTTGTCGACACTAAGACACCAACCCCGGTCTGGTTCTTGGTTGTTGCTGGTCTGCTGCTCGGTCTTGGATTCTGGTTTTACGGGTACCATATCGTTCGTGCGCTGGGAAACAAGATCACCCAGATGTCCCCCACGCGTGGCTTCAGTGTTGAGCTTGGAGCAGCTATCACTGTGATGTTGGCTTCAAGGCTTGGCTTGCCCGTTTCCACGACGCAGTGCTTGACTGGTGCCTCTATGGGCGTCGCTCTCATGAACTACGATCTTGGCGCCGTCAATTGGAAGCAGCTTGGCTTTATCTTTGGTGGCTGGGTCTTGACTTTGCCTTGTGCGGGATTGGTTTCGGGGCTGCTTTGTGTGATGGCATTGAATGCTCCTCATTTGTAGATAGACATATTGGTTCCTGGCATTGTTAGCTTTTCTTGTCCACGGACAGGACCTGTTGTAATAAAGGTCTATCTTATTTTGATTCAAATGTTATTACTAAATTTGACAAAATGTACCCGAAATGAAAAATAAACCCAAGTCAATACGAGAAAGAAAAGACCATTTATCAACGGACATGTTCAGCTTTGTGCGTAGGCGTTGTATAATCTCAAATCGTCACGATCCAGTCGAACGACGGATATTCTTCTAAACACACAACGGAGCATGATCCTCTATTTGGTGCGCTTGTAAATCTTCCCAAGGAAAGCCTCGAATATTTCCTTCTTCAGACCCATAGACTCACTCATTGGCGGCCGCAATCTTCTCGCGCAGCTCGCCAACAACCCTCTCCTCGTACTCCTTGTACACCTTCTCCAGCTCAAGCTCGTTGAAAAGGGCCTGAACCTTGGCCTCAGCAGCGCCCTTGCGGCCGTAGGAAGCATCCAGGAGCTGGCGCTGCTCGGGAGTGCAACGCTGGATGGCCTGGTTGACGAGCTAAGAGCACTTGTTGTCCTGAATATCGTTCCCGATCTTGCCAATGACAGATGGGTCACCGAAGTTGTCGAGTAGTCATCCTAGATCTGGAAGTATTGGCTCAGAGAAATTAGGATGTTGAGGGCCTGCTTGAGGTTTTCCTCGGTAGCCAGCTGCAGGTATAGAAGGGCCAGAGCGACAGGCAAGTAGAAGCTGCAGTAGGCTGTCTTGTAGGTCACGATGAACATGTACTTCATAGAAAAGTTGTCGAGGTTGACGATGTCCTCGGGTGCGGTGATGAGGTCACAAGCTGACCCAGATCCGTCTGCCAGGTGGCCTCGTGGAAGAGCTCGACAATATCAATGTAGGCGGGGTGCGAGCGGAAGCGCTGCTTTAGGATGAGATAGATACGCGCCTTCCGCATACTTCAGGTCGGAAACATGATTGGTGGTCTGTACAGGCCGCCGAGCTGATCAGGATGATATATACTTCATCAACATCATTAACGAGATCGCTCTCCGATGGTGAAAAGCTTCCCACGCGCGGGTGAGAGCAGCAACTATCCTCAGCCAGACACGGTCTGACTTGCATTGTCCACGATATATTCTAAATGTCAGAACGGTGGAAATTTCAGTACTGGGTCAAAGTGGAAGGACTTATCAAGTGCCTCAGAAACAAGGCATGCTCGACTTTGCGTAACTAACTAGAGTGATTAAATTGTAGAGCTAATTGTTGGGGGTAGAGGACGTATTTATAGACTCCTCGGCTCATCATGTCTCGTACGTGCTCTGTTGGTGGCAATCGTTGAAGGACACCTATTAGCATGACCAATATTGAGCGCCTATCGTAGGAATATTATATGTTAGTGCACGTGTCAGTTACATCCACAGGTGGCAACATCAACATACCGGCTTCGCATAAGAAAGGCTGGATAAACTAAGCTTGAGTGCAATCTGTGCTGATAGCGGCAACTTGCTGTCCGTCTTCTTCAGCCTCAGCTGTATTGGTGGAAGGGCCAGGGTCTTCATTGTGTAACACACCGCTGGCGGGAGCTTCACCACATACTCTGTTTTGGGTTCCATTATGTTCCTCCTGGCCAACAAGAGACCAAATCTGGCATTGGGCGCCACATAATTATAAGATAAAAAAAGATAGACATTACTTATTGATCACGAATGAAATTCAACACAGTCCTAGAGAACAAGAGAAACCTTTAAAGGGGGAGTGAGACAGTAAACAAATGCCGTTACAGCGTTAATGGGAGCCCAAAAATATAGGAAGAGGATTTAGGCATCGTCGCCAGGCATTTTAGAGTCCCCATCCTCATCCAACCCTCGTAACGTAGGATAAAAGACAGCACTCTCAACCTTAGTAGGCTCGTCCTTAGGTTGCTCAGAAGCGGCACCGGCAGTGTCGACTCCCTCCATAGCATCGAGTCCCGGTATGGGAGATACCGAGGTGCTCTGTGCTTCACCAGTCTGGCCACCGGCCTGCAAGAGCTCAGAGACCAATCGGCGAAGGGTTTCAAGCAAACGGACTTTCCCAACCCACGCAACATTAACATCCCATTCGGCGACTTCAGTGGCAGCTTGAGTGGTACGCTGGGTAGCCTTCTGGTCGGGATTGGGTGAGGCACCGGACAGGGCGGGCTCAATAAGGCTCTCTGATATGTGCATGGCGGGACGCTCCTTGGTAGGGGTACGCTCGCCATCTTTGCTGCCTTGCGAGATGTCCATGCGGTCCTCGGTAGCAGCTCGCTCGGCTGGCCGGGCGCGTTGCAGGGTACCGCCAGTGTAGCGGCGACGGTCATCATGGTCATACGCACCGCTCAGAGTAGACGAAGGTGCGGCACATGACGCGGTCGGATATCCCGTGGTCATGCTGTCGGCGACACTGGCCGATGGCAGACGCGGGTACATACCCGCGCCACTCTCATAGTGAGGAGACACCCGGTGGGCACGGTGTATGGAGATGGGAGAGTGTTGTGAGATGTATGACTGAGCACTGGAAGGCGGGGTCAAAGCCGGAGTGCCGACGGAGGGGAAGCGAGTCTGGGCAGCCATTATAGGGGCAGAGGTGGTTGCAGTGACGTGCCTTGAAGTGAGCTGAGTGGGAGGACAGTGAGTGGCTCGGTAGTTCATACCACCATGCACGTAATGAGCGCCAGGCTGGGCAACTCCAGCAGCAGCCATATTCTCGTTGCTCTCGTAAATAGTGTTCTGCATCTGTTCCAGAAATTGATCGATGTTGAGCAGATCATTCTTGGTCCGGACATTGGACAAGGGGGGAAGGTGGTAACCAGGAGCCTGGAAGCCACTGGCGCTGTAACCGCCGCTACCGACCGCGACAGATACAGCCATTTGCTGGTATTCGGGTACATGGCCATGAAGAGCCTGCAAGCTGAGAAGACGCTGACCAACCGCAGCGTAGGAGTTATGGTCGAACTGGCGGCGCTTCAAATCGCCAAAGAACTCGTTCAACGCATCGTAGCCCCGCTTACGGTCGTAAGCATGATTTCCATCTTGGCCCTGGCTCAGGTCATAGTACAGATTTCCATGGGAATGCGAGTTGGCGGCCTGAGGTGGAGGGTGTGGTTGATAGTATTGGGGAGCAGTGTGTGCATATTGACCATTCACGCCATTGATGGGGCTCTCGAAGTAATGGGTGGCAGCAGCATACCCCCTAGGATTTTGAGAAAACATCATTTCAGGGTACTTCATGCCCAGTGCGGGGGACCGAATCTCGGAGTCGTCGGCATGGGTCTTGACATGCTTCTTCAGATCCTGGGGGCGTTTGAACGCCTTGCCGCAGAACTCACACCTGTGAGGCTTGAGCGGTACATGCACTCGGATGTGCGAGGTGATGTGGTCCCGCTTTACAGCAGTGGTATTGCAGGTACCCCATTGGCAAGTGAGGTTAAGGTTGTCGGTGCTCTTACGGCCAATGTGGCGTTCGCAGACATGCTCCTGTGTGGACAGTTTAGTAGCGTTTCAGGGATGATCTATTTGACGATCATGATGATTTTACATATAGAGCCTCAGCATTAGGAGACTTTTCAGTACATCCAACCCACTGACAAGGCAGCTGCTCGCCGGGACCGTTCATAGAGGGGCTGTTGACTACGGCGGTCGCGGCGGCTGGGGTAGCAGTTGCTTGGCTCCGTGACTCAGTGACAGGTGCAGGCAGAGTCGCAGGCTGCGTTCTAGAGGGGGCAATATTGTTTTCCGTCATGATGCCAAGAAATGGTTGGCGGACTGTTCAGACACGGCTTTCAAGCAATAAGAAGATAGAACTAGAAATAAAACAAGGACTAGTCTAGAATGTTGGGAGTACCACAAAATCTTTATGGTATAGCGAAATGAAAATGTGGAGGAGTAATTAAGGGGAAAAGAGAGAACAGAGATTAGACGGGGTTCTCCGCAGAAGAGGAAAAGGAGCCGAGCCTTTGCCTAGAAATAGTCGATTTGCTAAACCGGGCGGAGTGTGGCCAAGAACGGGACAAGCACAAGAACGCCAAGAGTCTGTGTGGGCCCCAAGACCCGAGAGGTGTTGGCGCCATGGCTTATCACTGGTAGGCCACAGGGAAGGAAGGGCTACGGTATTTTCGTATTCCGGGGCTAACATGTGGGCATTGAAGGGCTCCGTACGTAGATTGCATTAGTTAGTATAATCCTTGTAGACAAAGAGAGAATGTGAAGGATACAATACTGCAGGACGTGTAGGTACTAATCCAGAATAGTGCGCTTCAGACGCAAAATTCCACCGATTAGGCAAACACGATACAATAAGTTAGGGATAAATTAGAGATAATGTACAGAATGGACCTTACAAGGTTGAATTCACTTCAAGGTAAATCTTAAGTCACGGAATCGGCTAACCACTGGACTGGGGTGCCAATTGTGCCAATTCGCCAAGCAAAGGTAATGTCCCTTGGAGCAATGCCTCTTGGCAGCCAAGTAATTTCTCTTGCTAATAATGCCCGCTCCAAAAATTAAGACTCGAAGTCTTATTTAGGGTCTTGGTACCCCTCGCTGCCATCCCTGCCATACTGTACCCATCAGTAAGTCGCGCCTCCTTTGTATCAGGATAGCCACAACAGCTTCCCATACGAACTTGCCTACTTCTTTCACTATTTTCCGCCAAAACAAAAAGGAAAATAAATCGTATGGTTTCGTTGTAGCTGAAATTGGATGGGCTTCACCACATTGGGCTCCACCACCAGCTCCACCCCCACGTCCTCACAGTCTCCGCTCCTATTTGTCAACACCCCGGCAGCGGCTGACGCAGGGACTATATGGCGCAAACTAAAAAGCGTAAAGCGAGCAGTTAGCCTATCCTGCGAGGAGCAAATCTGGATGTGACCTACCAAGGCCGATAGCTGCCAAAAAAAATGAAGTGCATGCCTGTTCTTGAACCTCAGATGTGTTGCTTGAAACTAACACAATTACCAACTCGCAACTTGAAAGCCCACCAGAACCATGCGTGAGCAAGCTTTGACGCGAGGTAATCCCAACAATACCGTGATTGGGTGAGAATAACACGGGATCCAACCAGTAACATTTTTGGCCACAGGCTATCATTAGGGCTCCGAAAGGAATACGATCATTCATGAATATTCATGAATATTTGCGAATATCAATAATATGTGTTACTTTTGTCGGTTGTGGGACTCCTTGTTGAAACAAGTGATTGTCAGATTGGTTGAAGGATTATTTACAGAAGAGGGGTAGTCCATATATATATATTTATTGGTGACCTCGCACAGTCAAGAGGGACAAGAAGAGTATGGCTTGGCCGTAACGGGTCACCTGTCGCTGCGGTCTTAAACGGAACGCATTAGACCGTAACGTCAGATAGAGCCCAAATGACCCGGGCCAAACCAGGATGGTGGAGGGGACGGTGGCGGAAGCAGTAGAGATAGCGGAGCCGGCGAGCCTGTCTGGAACTGGTGATTGAGCTTGTACAAAACTGACGCGTTCGTCGTAAAATACGCCCTGAAATGCCCTCCGAGGTCCATCTCCCGAGTACCTGGATCTGGTCGTCGAGGATCCCACTATCGTGCGCATGTTGAGCCGAACCCTTCCGAAAGCTGTGGCCTGAGTAGCCGTCCGTCTGTATCCCGAGTGCTCTTAGCTTTAGTAGATAAGGTAGAGAGGAAATGGTTGCGACTGAATGGTTTTCGGTGGAAGAAAAATAACGGGGCATCGGGCCCTTTCGGGTCGAGAAGTAGTAGCTTCTGAAGCGCGTCTACCGGGCACGCTTCGTCTCCTGTTTTTGCAAGAACACTCTGTACTCCTTCGTGGCGGCGGTCCGTCTTACTCCGCTTGAGTGTGAGTTGCGCATGATCTAACGAGGACGAGAATCTGACGTCGGAGCGCGTGCCGAAGTCTTCTTTCTTGTAAGTGAACTCTCCAAAGCGGAGGAACCCAGCAATTGCTATCCGACAGGCGGTTGCGAAATTAAAGTCGTCCAGAAGGTTTGCTGTCATCTCCAAGTACTGTGACGGGTGTGTGGCTAGGCCTGCGGATAGCTTCGTAATAGTATCACGCGAAATTGGTTTTCTGACCCGAAATTTAGTAATGGGGTTGAGTCTTATCGCGCCGTCTATACGACGTCGAAAGTGCTTGTTGTCAATATGGTAAGCTCAGAGAGTGCGGTGTCGGGCTTGACGGCCTTTTGGTTTAAATTCCCAAGTCGTGAAGTTAGCCAGGAGCTTAACGAGTGTCTTGAGGCTGGCCATGCCGATAAATTTTGTAACGCGCAGTGCTTTTCGTAACTTCGTTGAACGGAGAGGTAGACGGAACGCGTGTTGGCGCTGAGGCCGCTCCAGAGCAGTTTTAGGTGGCCTGCATTGAGCTGAGGAGTTCGTGAAGAGAACCACGGGGGCGGTTCAATATACCGAGAGGTCCTGCCAGTGGGGACAAATGTTAGCAACCTCTTGAAAATTATTACGGGAGAGTGCATCTGCTAGTGTGTTTTCCTCGGAAAGGAGCCAGTGTGGCACAATTTGGATGTCTCTCGCCGCCGCTAGGATAAGTAGGCTCTTCAGAGGTGCGTTGGGCGGACCATGAAGGAAGCCTTTACTCAGTCCTATATGCGCTGTGGAGCTATCCGTGTGGATAACGAGAGTATGATGAAGCCAATGGTGCCTGAAGAGTAGGAAGCCTTGTAGAATGGCGTCTACTTCGTTGGTATTGATGTGCGCATGTGCGTCTTGAGCAAGGGCCAACGAGGCAGCATTGTTTGGATGAAGCTGGTGACAATGGGCCAGCCAGCAGTCTGATGTAGACTTGGACGGGAATACGAAGAGCCCCTGGCCTATACTAGAGGCATCTGTGTAGAGATGCGTGATGGTGCGGCGGCAGGGGTCAATCAGGAGTACGCCGTTGAAGAGAGACAAGGAGTCCCTCCACCATTCAAAATTGTCACGTACCTCGTAAGGGATACGGCGGCGCGCGCTTCTCCCATGTGGGAAAGCGGCTTGGAAGGTGTATAGAGACTGTAGCCTTCTCCTTCCAAGCCGGACAAATCTTGAACAGAAGGCTAATAAGCCTGTGAGACGCTCTATTCGCTGGAGTGAGAGAATCGCTGCGTTTAGGACAGCTGCGGCGTCCAATGTGGCGCGGCACAACCTTTCTAGCGGCAGGCGGGCTTCCATTGCAATAGAGTCGATCTGGATACCTAGGACTATAACACAGGTCCCTTGCTGGTCCTTTTTAGTATTGCGAGGGATACGTAGGTAGTCGGTGACTCTGTTGCAAACCTCGTCAAAGGGACCCGTAGGGTCGGACACTAAGGGGGACTGAGTAATTGCGACGAAGTCGTCTAGGTAATGATTGATATAGGATGTAGGGAGGGGGCATTGGGGTATCCAATGGAGAGCCTCGGCGAAGATGTTGAAGAGAAAGGGTGCCGTTGCGAGGCCAAAGGGGAGACAGCATTCGACATAAGTAGAATCGTTCCACTGGAAGGCAAGGAGGTGCTGGTTATCCTCGGCAACGGGGACTATTCGGAAGGCGTCCTTAATGTCCCTCTCGATGACTGTGCAACCTAGGCCAGCCTGTATGACCTGCTCGTATATGTCATCGATTGTCATGTATTCGATAGCTGACCAGGAGTCCGGTATGCCCTGGTTAAGGCCCTGTCCAGGGGGCCAGGATAGATCATGGATGCGGCGCTATCCCCCATCGTGTTTAGTGACCAACCCAAGCGGCGAAATGAAGGGGGGCCCAGAGGCCAATCTAATGCGACCGAGGCTGAGATCCTCTGCTAGTTTAGCCGTGATCATGCCGGGTTCGTGAATGTGATGGCTGGAGGAATGACAAAGCTGCTTCTTGCCCCGATAGCCGATCTGGACACCGTAGGTTAGAATGCCAGCGATGGTAGACCCGAGATCTCCTGGATAGTGGCGAAGGAGGTTGCTCCAGCCTTTTGCATATAGTGGTGACGGGGAGAACTGTAACTTTGGGAGCTCTGGGTTGAAGACGGGGTATAGGACAGCAGTGTTTGGCCTGGTCGGTTGGTCCTGCGGTATTAGGCTTAGTGGTAAGAGATTGGAGCTCCTATCGGCCTCTGCAGTGTGTTCCCTAACGGTAGGGTCCATTTGTTATGTCTTCTTTCGGCAAGAGGAGGTGCCATGCTCGCTTAGACCGCATGCTGTGCACTCATGACGTCTCTTGCAGCCTTCCCAGAAACATCCTATGGTGCTGAACTTGTCGCACACCTCGGTCTCGTTATTCGAAGACCTAGTAGACCTTGTTTGGCGAGGTCAGGCTGAAGGGTTTGCTGGTGGCTTCGCAGGCAGGGTAAGATTATGACGGAGATATTTTTCGCGAAATGGGGCTGTGATAAGGTTGTTCTCTGTCGACAGCTCTCCCTTATCCGGAATGTATTGGTAGAAGTTGAGGGCGAGCGGCAGTACTGCTTCTGACCACTGATAGGTTTGAGCGAAGTCCAGGATCTGCCTCATGAACATGAGTAGGTTGGGGACTGCCTTTGGATGTTTCTCGCTAAAGAGATATCCTATGACGGCTAGATATGTAAGGAAGCAGCTCGTCCATGTATGATGGTTGGGGCCCCAGTCTTTAAGCGATGCCGCTCCCTTCTTGAAGCCTACTGTGCCTCCCGACTCGGTCATTTTGAAGACCTTGTCCTCCTGATCTAGCTCGGTGACTGACTTCTCTTTAAAGCGTATGAGTTCAGTCGCCTTCAACTTCCTCTCGAGGACGCGAGTTGAAGGGCGGCGGAGACGCCCGGAAATATGTCGATGAGTGGTTTGACTTCAGGGGGTGGCTCACGGTTTTCCTCGAGATTATCGTCATCTTGCAGGTCCACACGAGGCCTTCTGCGACGGAGGTCGGTCTCCCCTACATCCATATCAAGGCGCCTGGCCCTGTCTCTCTATCTGTCCTAGCCAACTGGCACGGTCTGCCGCGCCCATGGTTTCCCAAATGTGGGCCGGAGGTCAAGCGGAGTCGAGTGGGGCAGGCGTGACACTGCTAGATTTGCTGTAGTTCAGAGGTATGAATTGTTGTATTTATTCAGAGGGAAACATGAGACTATATATACAACGAGAAGATCAAGTTGATTGGAAATCAACTTGATTCTTCGTATGGGCACCTCGGGATTAATTCCGATGGTTCGGCTTGGTTCCTGATCTGCACCAGCCTCAGATCACAACATCCCCCCTCAGAATCGCATTGCTGGCAATGACAATACTGGATTTAAGCTGAGCAGGCAGGCCTCGGTAAAACCACGCAAAAAACCTTCGTGGGGAAAGAAAGTGGAAAGAGCGTCTGTGCTGTCATGCATTTGCTTTGGAGTTTCTGAGGAGTCGATGCCTAAGAGACTACAAAACTTGGCAAAGGACGTGGGCCCTAATGGCTTGGTGAGACCATATGCGGCCTGTTCCTCAGTCGGAACATATTGAAGCCCAATCTCACCTGTATCCAGCACGGCTCGCTGATAGTGAAATTTCACGTTGAAATGCTTCGTCCGTTTGTGGAATTCCGGGTTGCGAGAAAGAGCAATGGCGGACTGGTTGTCAGCCATGATGTTGGTGACCGGAGACCGATACAGTTGTGTTTCAGCCAGAAAGGTGCGGAGCCATTGCAGATGCAGAATGGCATTATACTGTCCAATTTATTCCGCGTGTGTCGTAGACGTGGCTACTTCCCCCTGTCTCTTGGACGACCAGGAAACTGGTGCACCTGCAAGCTGGAATACATAGCCAGACGTCGAGTATGCACCGTCAGTGACGACAGAGCCACCAAAGTCGGCGTCCGTATACCCGATCAGCTGCCCACTGCGGTAGGTAATACGATCGGATTGCGTGGCTTTGATGTAGCGAAGCAATCGCAGCAAAGCGACTTGGTGGTGCGATTGCGGCTGAGCCGTGAAGCGACTCAACATGCCCAGCGCAAACGCAATATCCGGCCGCGTGCTAACCATCAGATACATCAACGAACCAATGCCAGTGGCATAACGAGCTTTTGCTTCCTCGTCCGGAGATTCCTCGTCTGGACGATGATTCAGGATTTGCTTGGGATTCATCGGGGTAGTCTTCGCCTGACAGGTTTCCATGCCAAAGTCAGAGAGAACCTTTTGGATGTACTGGTGTTGGTGAATGGAAACGCCTCCGTCGGCATGGTAGTCGAATTGGATTCCGAGGAATGAACGTGGGGTTCCAAGATCATTCAGTCGGAATTCTGTTTCCAATGCTCGTTGCACTTGTTTGATTTCCTGCGAGTTTGCTGCCGCAATGAGAAAGTCATCGACATAGACACAGATCACGCAATCGGATTCGTAGAACACGCAGTTGTCCGATTGTGCCATGGTGAAGCCATGAGCGGCCAGGACGCGGTGGACGCATTGGTACCAAATCCGCGGGGCCTGCTTCAGCCCGTATAGCGAGCGGCGCAGCCGGCACACGTACCCTGGCTCCTCAAAGCCCTCGGGCAACTCCATGTAAATAGATGAGTCGACGTCGCCATGGAGGAATGCAGTGACAGCATCGAATTGGTGGAGTTTCCATCCGCGCAACACTGCGCTGGCGACAACGCAGCGCATCGAGTCCATTCGAGATACGGCAGCAAACGTTTCGTGATAGTCGATACCATGTTTCTGCCGGTAGCCTTTGATGACCAGCCGCGCTTTGCGCGTTCCGTTGGCTTTGGTCTTGAAGACCCATTTGCAGCCAATCACATGATCTCCGGCTGGTACGTTTTCTCGCAGAACCTTTTCCCATGTTCCGTGCTCGAGAAGAGACACGTATTCTTTCTGGATGGCGGCCCACCATTGTAGTTGATTCGGGCCGGATACGGCTTCTTGAAACGTGGATGGGTCAACACTCTTCGCTGTGGGATTCAGCGTACCTGCTGCATACACCTTGTCGAGAGATTCCAACAGTCGGCGTGAGGGTCGCCTTCTACGACCATAGATCGAATACCCCAGGTCCGGTGTTAGGCCGGCTTCCTGTTGGCTTGGGTTGACCACGGACGGTGTTTCTTCCACACGCCCAGATGGCGTTTTCTCTTCCTCGTTTGAGGAATTCGGCGATAGAGGTGGTGTTGGCAGCCCGCTAGCTGATGAGGGTAGTGGTGGAAAGACAGTTGATGGAGGAGCATTGTCCGGGAGGTCGTTGCCTGTTTCCACCTCGATGAGTGGCGCCACTGGGGTCCTCTCATCGAACTCGACATCACGGGAAAAGACTGTCTTCCCTGAATGGTTTTCATACAGCTTGTACTGGTTCGGTTCAGAGTACCCCAGCAATCGGCATTCGGATGACCGGGGTCCGAGTTTCGCTCGATGCTCTTTCGGGATCAATACCCAGGCACGGGAGCCAATGCGTCGCAGATGCGACAGCGAGGGCGGCTTTCCGTATAGTATTTCAAACGGTGTCTTCTTCTGTAAAATCGATGCTGGAGCGCGCAGCTTCAGATAGACCACCGTGTCCACAAGGTCGGTCCACCAGGAAGGAGGAAGGTTCGCATCAGACAGGAGCATGTTAATCCCCTCCCGGATAGTACGATTCGTGCGTTCCGCCAGTCCATTCTGTCCCTTGCAGTATGGCGGCGAGGTGTCAAACTCAACTTCCTGGATTTCGAGGTGTGTTCCGATCGGCAGGTATTCTCTCCCGTTGTCGGTGAGGAACCTCTTGATCTGGGCGCCGAACTGTCGGTGCACCCAGGCCTCAAAATGTCGGAACTTCTGGAGTGCTTCATGCTTCCATCTCATGGCATATGCCCACGAGCCACGAGAATAATCGTCAGTAAAGGTGATCACGTACCTGGAGTTATCTTTGGCAATCGGCATCTCCATGATGTCCGAGTGGATCAATTCGAAAATTCTCGTTGAATGCAGACGTGGCCGTCTTGCGCGGGAGTTCCTCTTCTGATGCTGCTTACCCGACATACACGCTGGGCACTGCGGCGTTGCCAGCAGCTGCGCCTGCGTCAGCGGTCGGTACGGAGTGCCGGTCTGCCAGAGGACCGCCCTTAAGTCGCCCCGGTTCAGATGTCCCATCCGAGCGTGCCACAACGCTTCGGAGGCCTGGTCCACTCCTTTGCACGCATCTTCATCGAGTATCGCAGCTTCACCACCGAGTTCAGAGGTTGACGTTGCGCATTCTGCGTCACTTGACTCCTGAGGGTCGTCGACGTCCATGGCCACCGCCTGCGGTTCCAGGGAATCTGCATGGCCATGGGTCGCCGGCGCTCTCGCCAGTTGGACTCGCTCTCGAGATCTTCTGCTCACATGGCACCGCAGAATCAGCAGATCCTCCTCCGCATGGTAGGCGCTCCCCACGGTCCGTCCTCGGCGTTGCACAAAGACATTCTGTGGGTGCGCCACCACCGAGTAGCGGTCTCGTAACAGCTTCGGCACGCTGATCAGGTTCATCCCGACGCGTGGCGCGAAGTATACATTCTTTAACACCAGGGGTTGGTTGAACTTCCCCCGGAGCGTGAGCTTCACCGTACCAATCCCTTCGGCTTCCACTGGATCGCCCGCCGTGTCCAGCATCTCGCAGTGGGGCCGCAAACTGCTGAAGCAGTTCCGATCCCAGCAGATGTGGCTGGTGGCGGCCGAGTCCAGGATCCACCGGGGTTGCGGTGCGTGGGTATAAAGGGTCGTCACCCTCGCCCTCACGATATTGATCCTCGGTCTCTTGGAAGCCGGCGGGCCCCGCCGATCTTCTCTCTGGCTTGATGGTATATTTTGTAAATCATTTCTTGGTGAGCCGGAAACACTCCGTTCAGTCTTCAGGGCATGGTCCCTAGACGACTGTCTTTCTCGCTGTTTCTTCCAGCACTGCGCGACCACATGGCCGCGCTTCTTGCAATAGTTGCATTTCTTGGCAGACTGCTGCACCGTATTGACGGACGGGCCAGATGCTGCCTGCAAGGGTGTTGGAGCTTCTTTTCTCCGAACCGTCTGCTCAGCATTAGACAGGCGATTTCCGATCGTGGTCGGATTCACCGGATCCTTGTCATTCTGGATCGCATCCACAACTAAAATGTATTCCGGTCCGATCTGCGTCAATAAGATCGCAATGTGCGTTCGATCGCCAATGGATCCCGGCACGATAGCATTCAATCGATGTACGAGCAATCGTACTCGATCAACAAATTCGCGCGCGCTGCCGCAGCGCTCGCCAGTGGTTTCGCGAAGCTGGGCGAACAGCTCGCAAAATGTGGCGAGTTCCATCCGCCGGTACCGTTCTTCGAGTTCATTCCAGAGGTCCCGGGATGTCTCGAGTCCCGCGACATGAATGCTGATATGGGGGGACAGGTACCGGAAGATGGTGTGGTAGGCCTCGGCTTCGCGGCGCGACCATTCACGGTGGCGCTCGAATGCCTGGACCTCCACTTCAAGGCGCGCTTCAATGGCTCGCTGCCTCACCGCCCCGTTGAGGTGGGGCTCCACCAAGGGGTGGATGTCTGCCGTAATTGGTTTGGCATACTTGAACAGGCAGTCGGGACGCTGAAGGTCGCCCGACACAACATCCCAGACCTGTCTAGCTTTCAGGTACGAGGTCATGAGACGTTTCCAGGTTGCGAAGTTGTCACTTCCTGTCAGAGGCTCAATGGCCGTGACGACTCAATCGGGCGAGTCGTGAACCAGAGTAGACATGTTGTTGCTTCGGAAAGTGGGGTAGATATATAACCAAGAGGGTCAAGTTGATTCTCAGATGAGTAGAGACGGCACCCGAGAGTTTGCTCCCGGGCTCATAGCCTGTTGTAATTCAGAATGTTTGATTGTTTATTGTACCAGAGGGAATAACTGGGGCTATATATACAATTAGAAGATCAAGTTGATTTTCAATCAACTTGGTTCTTCGTATAGACAATGCGGGAATTAATTCCGATGGTGCGGCTTGATTCCTGGCCTGCACCAGCCTCATATCACAACACTAAGTCTTATGCGGAAATAAGCAGAATATGAAGCCTCGGTGCAAAATACTGTAGAAACTATCTCCCAATGACAGTCTACAAGTCTATATCAGATGAATTGGTTGATATACATCAAGTAGAGCTCGTTGAACTTCAACGTGGCGTTATTGTGACTGCCAACCATTCGAACCGTGGGAATGCAGATCAATCGATTCCAAGTACTGCTATCAGCTGACGTTGAATGCAGCAATTTTCGCATTGTATTACGAGAGCTCCCCAAAGCGGATGTCGCTCGATCTTAGAGACGACCAATTCTTCTCAGTGACGGCATCCAAAACGTTTGACGAGTGTTGTGGTCTTCTATCCTGCTACGAATGGCCCTCCGGATGCAGTCATTCCTTGCGGAATCCAGAGATCTCCTCAGACTGCCACCTTTCTGTATGCGATCACATCATAATTCATTGACAATCGAAAGATGCCCACCCTTGGCTGCCAATATCAAAGGGACCTCGAGCCACCGATTCTTGAGGTTGGGATCAATTTGGTGGTGACGAAGCAGAACTCGCACCATCTCCAACTCACCATAACGGGCGGCAATGGAAAGCGCCGTGTCGTAGGATGTGATCGTCCTTTCATTGATATTCAGATGTTTGCCTTGTTGCACTAAGAGTCTGACCACCTTAAGGTGGCCTCGTGCGGCCGCTCGACAAATGGGTGGATCTGTGAATCCCCGTCCATTAATTTCCACGCCCCCCACCTTCAACAGCATCGCCACCGTATTGACGCGTCCGTGTGTAGCAGCGGCGGAAAGCGGGGACTGGGTCTGCAATGCAAATATTTACATCAATCCCTAGTGCCGCAAGTAGTCGCTGTAGAGTCACAGTGTCCAGTCTCACAGTGTTCAGTCTGGTCACGGCGTGGTGCAATGATGTAGATGGCCTCGAGTGTCTCCTGCGCCCCCAGACAAAATTGATATCGATGTCTTTTTCGTCCAAGAGCCTCTCTGTTATCTCATCGCAAGACGAGTAAGTAGACAGCCAAAGCGGCGTGTTACCGTCTCTGTCTATGCAGTTCACGTTGGCTCGGGGGTGATTCGGGAGTAACGTAACCACTTCCAGGCGTCTGCTTTAAACGCCGCGATGGGGCGGCATATCACCATACTGGTCCTGAATGTCCAGATTTAGAGGCTTTCCTCCGAGAAGAATTTTGACGGCATCGGGTGACCCATGGGACACTGCTTGATGGAGTGGCAGCTCGGCACCTTGTGTTCTATGAGGACCAAGTAATACTCTAAGTCATGCTCGCTTGAAAACATCATTTTCATGAAGGGTCTATTGAAGCGACACGCCCAGGCCCATGGCGAGTGGCCTGAATCATCCTCCAAATTAGGATCACTGTCTGTCGAGAGCAGTAATTGCACGAAACCTAAGTTGCCCCAGAAAACTGCTTGGTGGAGCGCCAATCGGCCCTTTCTGTGTTTCAAATCCAGCATCAAGTTCGGTCGCTCCAATAAACTCTTCTGATTGGAAAAGGCTCCGTAGTGGACAGTGTACCACAAGGCACTATCGTGCGCGGAATCTGGATGTTGATGTATAGCCTGTGACTTTCCAGCAATGACTTACATACAGCAGTGGAACAGTGTTTCAGGGCTGTCATCAAAGAGGTTTTTCCCCGGTAAAAGGCATTGACGTTAGCGTTGTACTGAAGCAAAACCTCTGCAAGAGCAAAGTTGTCGGTTTGGGCGGCCAGGTGCAGCAAATTGCTCTTCTGGAACTTGACATTGTATTTCCGTATGCTGGGCTGCAGTCTGGAATAAAGGTGTGTGCAGGATCTTGCGAGGGCAAATTTGTCAATCCCGCCCAGATGCGCCACAATGTCTAGCAAAAGCTCGTTGGGGAAGCCTCTGATATTTAACTGTTAACTGTTAGCTCATCAGTGTTTCAGTGAGAAAACCTAAGTACAAACTATGGTTAGACAGCGGATTAGAGGTATGCAGCAAATCCAATGTAGATGAGGATGAGAGTAGATGAGGGCGAGGTACCGAAGTTCATTCGAAGAGGTGCGGAGGCCTTTATATAGTCGCATCAATGTCTTGACAACACTGTCTAGGCCCAGTCAGAGAACCCCTGGGAAGCCCCATATGGTTCCTAGGAGTGTGCCAATGGCTCCAGAGAATTGGAATTTTGCGTGCGAAAAATGTATACCATATGTCACATACTGAGCCTTCGGCGTTGAAGCGAATCGCAACCTAACAAACACTTTGAAATGCCCATGGGCAACTCGCAATCTTTCTGACTATGCTACCTACAGCGGCAGTCAGCCATTTCGCCAATGTATGGTCGTATTGTACACCCACGGATGAATTGATTTGAGCAGCCTTTCTCGCAGGCAACTGATCGGCTGTGTGGCGGCGCATACTGCATCCGAACCCATTCTTCGACGAGTTGACTGTATCAAGGGTAATGTTACATGCCAGCAGCCACGCAGCTATGCAGGTATAGGTCCCACAGGATGGCGTATAAAGCTAGCGAGGGAACGTTGCGGAAAGTGCGCAACAACATTACCCATCCAAATCATTTTCTTCCTTTATTCACCCGCTCAACGTCTAATATGCTGCCCTGGGATCCGTCTGTTATCTGCGCGATCCCTCGCGGTGGTGCTGGCTCCTGTTGCGGAATGACTAAAAAGGGCGAGCCGTGCAAAAACTCGATCAAAGTTGAAGACACCAAGATAGACCATCAAGAGGTGACCACTCTCGCCAGAGAGCCGTTCGACTTGCGAACTTTGCGACCGAAGCTCTGTTTAATTGCCAAAGAATTCCTCTGTACGAGATGGCATCAGCAACGTCAGGCCGACCAAATTGGCCAGCAGTGGTATGAAGCAGCCGTCGGTAACCCGGTGCGAGTACCGCAAGACTCTAGAATTGCATCTCCATTTGTTGTACACCCGGGCCAGCCCCAAATATCCTCAGCCTCCAGGAGACGCCACGCGGGATCAGACAACACTCACCGGTCACCACCTCACGGGCTCAGACAGGACTCGCCGGTGCCCGTGCTGAAAGGTGAGCTTCCAAGTCAAAGTCATACCTAACAATAACCAAGTTCACCGGTTTATCTCCCTTTATCTGGCCAATATGGCCGTTGCAGTATCAACCAGACGCTGGTTGCATATAAGTCGCGAGTGATCATTGAATAGCTATGTACGTGGAACATCCTTTGCGCAGCGCAAGGATTACTGGCAAGTTTTATTTCTGAGATGGAGAAACTGACCAATTACATATCTAGGACATAGCCAATCTGGACAATTCTTTCGCTGCAAGACCCAGTTCCTGCAGCCTAGTGTCGGAAGAATCTTGCTAAATTCTATATGGAAAGACCCGAGTCGGGGCCCATTTGAAGTGGTCGAGTTTTATTATCCATCGGATTTCTTGCCCGTTAACCCCGATCACCCCCACGGGGAAAGTACCAACATGTAGGCATGGTGGTATGGCGATGTTGAAGCGGATCGCATTCGAGGTCATGAATTTTCTGTTGATTATATCCTACGCTTTACTGAAGCTCACGGTCCATTCATCGGTATTATGGGTTTCTCCACGGGGGCTACCGTTGCTGCTACAGTATCATCTCTACTTGAGAAATGGAAATCGCTCAGCGGTTTCTCATTCAACGTGTGTCACCAGGAAGGAAATCTTTTCATTCACAGCCCAAACCAAATTCATGACTAACGAGCTTTTTAATTGAAAGCAAATTCCCAAGTTGAGTATGATTCAATTACGGCAACTGTACACAACAAGTAGCTGTTCCGTACGTCAATAATTTCTAGTTAGCTGCTAGATAATGTATTGAACTTCGAAGCAACATTTTGGAATATCAAGTTTAAGGCGTTGTTATTTGTAAATAAGGTGGCAAGGTTGTAAGAATCCCACTCGAGAACTACGAATCAAACATTGTATTTCCAAAAGGAACAAGTCAGTATATGGACGACTGGAAGCTCGAATGTAAATTTTCTGGTCTGGTTTTTCTTTTTCGTTTCTCGATTTATTCCGGAATTTGTGGTTTGGCTAAACCGCCTCACTCTGCTGGTCATGGATAGATTAGTTGGCCTTTAGCGATATTTTTAGAAATTGTTTACTCATTCCAGATTAAACTACTTAATGCGGATGCACGCAGTTTAATACAAGATTACATATGTCCTAATTTGGTAGTCGAAAAGATCAAGTTTCCAAAATCAACAGTGAAAAAATAGAAATTGTATAATCTATTCTTGGAACAGCCAAGTTCAACAATTTATGATACCATCCGAAATAGAGAGTGAAATACTGTAGGCGCCATTATCTTTCTTCTTTGACAGACCCTCCACGTAACAGCGTACCTTGCTCATGCGAACTTAAAGATAATCAAGAAGCAACATATTGGCGCCCGCGCTTGAAGATCAACAATGATGCAGGAATCTGCGCTGCAGCAAAGGCAATCATAGCCTGGAATTGAGCTTTATAGCTTCCAGCAAAGACACCTATTGCTGCTTGTTGCACATTCTGTGGTAAACTTCCCATATCACCGGCTCTTTGGAGCACTTGATTGACCTGTTCGGGGGATAATTCGTCCGACAACTGGCCTTTGAGTCTCCCGTAGAGGATGTTCGACGCGATAGCCAGTCCAACAGCTCCGCCCAAAAATCTAGCCTGATTGAGGGAACCGGTGGCCGTGGCTGTTTTAACGTCAGCTCGATTGGATATCGAGAATTTTGAGGAGACGGAAGGTTGTTATTACCTAGATCCCTTGTCTCAACGATGTATGGCACGGCCAAAGTCAAAATGCCAATCGTGATCCCTGCACCCGCACCAGCAATGGCCTCATATCCATACCCCTCACTTGGGTAGGATTCATTTTCAGGAACAATTGACAAAAGTGCCATTCCAACAATATGGAGGATTGATCCAAGAAGTGCAAAGTAGACCACAGGGATGCGGAACTTGCGGCTTGCCAGACAAGCAAGCATAGTTGCAACAGTTGCGACAGCGGAGTATGGTGTGATGTGAATGCCAGCATCAAGTGGCGAAAGTTTGGTGAGAACCTGAAATCGTTGAGCTAGATAGACAATTACCACATTCCAAGGACAGCCACATAAAAAGTTGGTCCTGCGAGACAGACTAAAATGTCAGGGCTTGCCAACGCGGGGAATCCAAATGATCTCACAATAACATTCCCATCCATGCTTTGTTGTAGACAAATCGCTTTGGGAACATTGGTTCGACGTCTTGCATATATTCTGATATATACCACTCCCATGCAAAAAATGCAACCCATAGTGTACTCGAAAGAGCGAGGAGTCCAATGGCGGTCCCTGAAGACCAATCAAATTCTATGTTCGTCTCGTTCAGTACGGTCACCAATAAAAGAGATGCACTTAAAAGCAAGAAACCGCCGAGTGCATCAAGCTTTTTGAATAAAGTAAGACTCGGGAGCAAGGAAGATAATGGTTGGGGTGTGACGGTTCCAAAGGAAGGTGGCAAAGCAATCAGCAACATCAGCACCGCCAAAGCTCCAGGTGGAAGACTGCCATGAAATCATTAACAAACCTTGAAATAAATCCTGCAGTTGACATAACCAACTTACTTGATATAAAAGGTCCATCTCCACGCGGAGTTCTGGGCCAGGAGTCCACCAAATACGGGCCCAGTGAGAGATGCAAGTGCAATCGTAACGGCAACCATAGCACCGTACAATGGCATTTTTGTTTTTGGGGCAACTTCTTCAAAGATAAATCTCAGTCAGCTAGTTCTTAAACTAACCTCATGAGACCTTCATCATTGCTACTTACCATACACGCACAGAATTACCAGCGAGTAAACTCCTGCTCCTCCAACACCCTGAAAAGTTCTACATATGATCCTGGTAGTATATCAGCACTGATGTTTTAGCAATTGCATACCAAAAACTCACAACTCGTTCATATTTTGAGCCAGGCCGCATCCAAGTGAGAAAGCCAAAAACATGATATTTGCAGCAAGTATAGTCCTCTTGCGACCTATTATGTTGCTCACCTTTGTCCATTGGGACATAAATGCTAGGCGGGGATCTGTCAGTATCAATCAAGCTTTATTTAAGAAACATTGTAAATACCAGTATAAGTTGTCAGGAACCCGGTTACAACCCAGCTTGTTTTCTCAAACCCGTCTAGATCGTCTGTGATACTAATGAGTGCCGTACTAACAATTGTCACTTCGAGATTGACCAAGTATAGTCCAATCAATAGACTATGGTCGGTCAGCATCTGCAAAGGAAGGAAATTAAGCAAGCCATACCCGGTTAAAGTGAAATATAATCGCCAACCCTGAAGGCAGTCTCTTCCATCCTCGAGGCTGACGTCATAGAAAGGTCTATCCGGAATGCCGGCATCATGTATCTCAAACTTTTCTTGGTCCATGGTGAGGGTTGAAGATTATTCTTAACGCGAGTGCTTTCAGCATAGTCACAAAGATAGAGTCGACTATTTATAAGTTCAGAGACATATTTCATCGAAACATTAGGTGTAATCAAGCTAAAAACGAATGACCAAAATGTGAGTAGATTAGGCTGTGTAACGACACTACCGGCTTTGGTATCCCACATTCCAATGTAAGGCACTCTTTCTAGACTATTTTATGATTTCATGATCAAGCTTCGACTGAACAGTACACGATCGCCCTTGAAAGGTTGTGTGACGGGGGTTAGATACTCCGGCATTATGATGTGAGTGGACAGAAGTGCATCCCACTTACACAGAAAAGTAGCAAGAGATCATAGCAAAAGGTGGAAGATGCGCGCTTTATTAAACCAAAAGAGCTGGCCCGATTTGGAAACGATAAGCCACCGTCAACCGTCAGCTTTCCGAATAGAACAAAATTCGTCGTTTTCTCACCGCAGAATTATTTAATTTTACGCCATGTCAATAGATATACATCTGTATATATTAGATCACTCTACGTTAAAATCATTATTTCGATCCCAGATCATATACATTGTGTTTAAATTGAATTCAGAGGCCATACTTTAGTATGGTTGATGGGCATGATACACAAACTCACGACTGTGGTCGTCAAAGTATGTATATTCTGACGAGGCAAATTCAACACAAAGCTACTGCCCTTCAACGCTTGGAAAAGAAGACCTTCTCACTCATGTTATAAAACGAACATCCTTCAGCTAGAGCATTGAGCCGCTCCGCCATTTGGTAGCCCGTAACCCTTATTTCTTCGATGTTCTCTCCGATCTTGATCATATTGTTGTCATCGAACTTTTCTTCCTCACAAGAATTCTGGGTGGACTCGTGTGGAACAACGATTTCTTGACTAGGAAGAAGATCATAATCAACTAGAAATTGAGCAGGAGGAACTGTCTTGTAACCCTTTTTAACGACAATTTTCGCCATCGCAGTGGCGAACACGAGAGATCGTGAGGGTGGACCCCGATAGTCGCAGGTTACATGTGCCAAATCGCCGATGTTCATTTCGGGATCGCGCTGGGGATTCCATTGATCAGTAAAATGAACAGGCTTGCAGCTTCCCCTTTACACGAAGTGTGAAATGAGATGTATCCATTTATCATCCCACGAGAGAACACGAGTGGATATCTCATACTTCTGCCGAGGGCGAATGGCTCTGTGGAATGTAATATTCACTCCAGCCAGTGCCGGAAACAATACCCCAGTGCCATAAGCATCACTGGGTTGGGGGTTCACGAAGGACAAATCGCCCCAACTCTTCATTCCAACCCGGAAGAGTGAGCATATGTGATAGTTTCGAGCGACATCGAAATCCGTGGCGTATGTGGAATTGGTTTTGTGACCCATTATGTCTATCTCGCCTAATGGCGTGTTAGATGTCCATATAGTCGGTAGGAAGACGGTCGGCATATTGAGTGTAGTGAGAGGAACGGGTCGATTATTTAGTTTATTGCGAAAAAGAACTGAGTAGTAGTTTCTTGCCTAGGCTTGACTTAGTAGAAGCTTAAAGAGGTTTTCCGGTTGACGTGTAGATTCGCTTACATGCCAGGCCAAGGGAAATACCTTGAAGCTCAACACAAAGAGAATAATATCAAGAATTGTATTGAAGAACCCTAGAATCACTTCCAGTACATGGGTGCACATGTTTCGGCAGAGTTGAATGACCGAGTGGCCGATCTTAGTACCCCATTATCCCTTCGTTAATCATCCGGAAATCCAAGATTGGAGATACACAGAGTTTGTGCCGCGTTCCATTTCGAAGAATGTACGTGGGCCATTGAACAGTCGTCGCTGTTAGATTGTCCTACGTAAGATCCATTTCATCGGGTGGCAATTGATCGCTCGGCACATGAGAATTCAGGGTGGAAAGAATCAGCATTGCTGAGTAACGATAGGCATAAGTGTGGTTGCACCATCCCTAGATTGCCGTGGCGTGCCTTTCGGCTCGGACGAACCTATGAACAGCAAGTTGCCTTTAGGCTAATTATTTAATTGGACGAGGTAATGAAGTCACGAAAACCATTACAATATGCGGCCAGACTAACTAGAATTTTGCATGATGTATGTATGTCAACCAATGAAGACTTGGTATTTAATGAAGAAATCCAAACTCTATTCCCGATCAAATACCTCGTGATGTAATTATTTTAATCGAATTTTCACCATCAGCAAGTGTACACATGCGTGGCTTAATTCGAACTAGAGCTACTACCGATTCCAGCCCGAAGCACAGGCTTTATGTTGGTTGGATCCCCTGTACTGATGGTATTGTCCTGTCACCCTGATACGCACTACTCATGCATTAGGGTTAGACCTGTATCTATAATACTGGGTCATGACCCACAGAACTCTATAATAATACAACCAACATACACATGCTACAAGACTTTACTTACTTATATATTTTATTTGAATCTTACTCCTTTCGAGTTGCCTCGCACTGCATTGTGCGTTAGGTCGACCGCTCGGACCATCTGTGCAGCAAAATTGATTTGCCGACGACCATCTCCATTATGCCCCAGTGAATAAGCAAGTATTAGCTAAATATTTCAAATAAATTCAGACTAATCCAGTCTAAGTAGCCAAAAGCAAAATTAAAGCATCAATTAAGATCCTTGAGAGTCGGTGGAAACATTCTTCCATCCTTGGTTTTCCAATAGATTCTGCAATTCGCTTAGCAAAACCTCTTGTTAAAGAATCTTCCCTCCTATTTCTTAGAAGTCCCAATCTGGCTGGGACTCATGATCATCTCATCTAGTGCCTTACAGGGAGTAACCCAGGGAAGCACGGGCACATTTTCGTCCACCTTCACCTCTACCAAGGATAGGCCCTCTGAGCGAATGAACCACTCGAGTTGGTCTGTGATATCAGACACAGCATCCAATCGCTGAGCCTCGATACCCATTCCATCAACCACCTTCACAAAGTCTGGATTTCGTTGGTGCGTGTGAGAGTATCGCTTATCGTACTTGAGAGCCTGCCATTGTGTAACCAGCCTTTCTCTTTGTTGTTGAGTACCAAGATTTCGATCTTAATCCCTAACTCCGCGGCAACAAACATCGCATGCAGTGACATACAAAAGGATACGTCACCATCAATATAAATGACCATTGCATCAGGTTGCGCCACTTGGGCGCCAATGGCTGCAGGAAGTCCGAAGCCCATGGTCCCTGCTCCCTCGGAAGTGATCAACGAGCGATTCTCTGTCCATCAGAAGAACTGGGCTGCCCATATCTGATGTGACCCAACGCTAGTGGTAACAATGGTCTGTTTGCGTAGTTTTTCAGTAGGCCACTCGGCAGTAAAATAACGGACTCGGGAGATATTCGCGTTGCTTGCTTCGGAGGCGTCGGCTTGATTGGGAATGTCTTCTTCCAATTGGAAGTCTGGCCCATCCACTCCGGCCTGCTCTCCACCTTCCGGACATGCGGATGTAATTCAGTAAGACCGGCGGTAACATCTCCTTGGACGAATTCATCACACTGAATGACTTTATTGATATGTGGGGGGTGGATTTCGAAGTGGATGATACTGCCGCGTTGATCTTTGCCAGCCCCTCTTGCGACAGGAGCAAAGCGATTGGGGTCGCCTACGGCACGATCGTCAAAGCGTGTGCCCACAGCAATCACCAGGTCAGCCTCTTAAATCCCTTTTTTTGCATGTGCAGTACCATGCATTCCTAGCATACGAAGTGACTTGAAATCGTGCTCATCAAAACATCCAGTCCCGAGGAAACTAGTGGCAACTGGAATGGAGGCAATTTCGGCCAGTTGTGCCAGTACTTTCAGGCCCTCAGCACACGAAAGCACTCCGTTACCTGCGTATATAACGGGTTTCTGGGCTTTGTTGATAATATCCGCGCATCGTTTAATGCTCGCTGATCGGTCGGTTGCGAGGGCATCAGATCGAAAATGGGGCTATCCAATTTAGGAAGGCCCCAGTGAGATGAACTGAATTTAGCTGGAGCTTCAAGGACAGCGCTAGTCACGTCCTTGGGTAGTGCCACTAGAACAGGGCCCTTTCGTCCACTCTGGGCAATGCGAAATGCATCATTCAGTCGAGCGGGAAGATCCCGGATGTTTCGTACCACAGTATTCCAAAATCGAACAGAATGGAAGATATTACAGATTGTACGTCAGATCGGTCAACAGCAGGCACATAATGCTTATGATCGTGATTTTCATGCTCTCTTCAAGCTACTCCAAGACCTCACAGAACATACTTTCAACGAACTACAAAGGCTTTACAATCCGGGGCCGAGCGATCGAACAATTCTGTCCATCAAGGTCTCCCGAATTTCCAGAATACAATCTGCAACCTGGTTGAAAGGGCTTGTAAAGCCCAAGCGGAGTGCGAGGAGTTTTGTTCAGTCAATGCCCCATTATCAGCGCGTGATGTCTTCGAGCCCATCAGAAGGATGTACACCGACCCACATGCCTCATCGCAGGGCAGAAAATGAGCGTGGAACTTCTACGCCTGGTATTGTAGCCTGGGAAGATGGGCGAACAAGTCTGGCCTCTCTACTTGAGTGATATTCTCAAAGGCGAAATTTCTGTTCTATATATTCGCATGAAGACAACTATAATGTATCCTATGTACTACAGCAGTTCGCACCAAAACGCCATACACCATGTAGGAACACACCAAAACAACTTCTCATGAATCAGATACAGCGATCAAGGAGTTTCTATTACCACAGAATGTGCACCATATAAGCATCAATACCTCAATCCACCAACTGATATGGGCCATAGAGATAATTTCCCACCTCTCGGGCAAGGCTTGGCAATTAGATGCAATAAGATGTGAATGTGCCGTGAGATTTGTTGCGCTCGGATACGGGCTCATTCTAGACATAATTAATGGTTCGAGCTTAGGGTGATATAAGGTTTATATTCTGTCATCAATAAGGTCTATCATGAGACCGTAGATTACCTGTACTATGGCGCCCGTGTGATCACAGGCTTGTACACATAATAAACTATCATTTCTCAGCATGACAAAGGAGGTTGTTTGTAGTACATATTGGAGAATATATCCAGTATCTCAAAGAGTGCGACGTTTTTGTGTTATTTCTTTAAAGCTAGAAGGTCAAGTGCGAAGCTCCGCGAGGTCTTTGATCACTGGGAGAGCTGTTTGTGTGCAAGGGCGGCCTGATGAACGAGGTCGTCCATTCCTATAACCAGAAAGAAACTTAGGAACGCGAATTTCATTGTTCAAAGGAAAGGGGATGTACACACCTGGTTGAGGATCAACCGGCGGACGCACTGAGACTTTGCGGTATTTCACAGAATCTTGCGAGACCGGGATCTTCCCGTATGTTAGGTTATATCCAAAAAAATATAAGGAAATGCTTACGTTTTTTGCGTCGATCTCTGCGTATACCTGATCTGCTATTTTCTTGATATTTTGCAATTGCCTTGTTAAATGGGCCTTTTGCGGCGAAACTCCAAGTAAGGGAAGGCGGTATTTCGCGCATACTTTCCTCCAGCTGTACCATTTGACGGACGTAGATAAGATGGTATAGTTGTTTTTTGCAAGCCAGCATATCATCTCAATATGGGCGTAGGCCAGAAGCAAGCCACGGTTGGCACATTGAGGGGTGTCTTTCCTCGAAGCATTTATGAGTTGGTCATCGGACGCAGCGCGGTCAGCGTAATCGCAAAGATATTTCCGAAAGCTCCTCCTGTCGAGTCTATTGGCTCCAAGATTAATTGCGATCGTATTGACGATGGCTCCTATATTATCCACTAGTTCAACTGCGGCGGTGATGTCTTCAGGCATGGTGAATGTCATGTTCAATGATAATTACCCCTTTTCCACCCTCTTGTGCGTCATGCCTAGGCCTAATGATGACATAGTTGCGTAGCAAAAGAGTCAGTGGAAAGAACTCCCGTTCATAGACATGAAAAAGACCTTATAAACTTTTTTCCGGTTATCGTCTGTCTCCACAAGTGGACGCCGCAAGTAATAAAGTTTGGCCGCAAGGTGATCTACCGAGACGGCTCCCAACAAACAGGTATTGGGTAAAAGCCCTAATGAGAGGGGTTGAGTTGATCGTTGGTTCCAAAACCAATCAGATGCATCTTTACGATCTATCGTGGTGATTGGATGGTCTGGACAATTTTTGAGAGGCCCGCTCAACCATTAGCGAGATTGTTGATATGATCAATACAATGCAGGACGACTGTGGGCCCGCAGGAAACCGAAATACGTCCCGTGGGTAGCCTCTTCGGACTCGACCGCAGTTCTGGCACACATACGGCCTGGAAGAACAGCCATTAGACTCTTCCCCCTGTGGACATTCACGCAATCTTAAAAATCTACAGCGTAGCATCTGTCCAAGCTCCATAACATCCGCGAACTACAAAACCTACAGATGATGATGATGATGATTTCCTTTACCCTGACTCCTCGTCGAAGTTGATTTTCCAACTAGACTAAAATACAAATCCGTACCCAGCCTAGTGGGCTGATTGTGGTTTAGAATCCAACTGTCGAAACGATATACAGGCTACCACAACTATATATATCTCTATACGTACATGTATCGTGTACCACTTCCTAAGCGAACTTAGAGCCTCGCCGAGGTCCTGCCGTGACCTCTGTGCCGTCGTTATATTCATGCTGCCCTCATGGCGCGCGGCTTTGAAACCGTTGCGATGCTTCAGCGAAGTCCAAGACAGCCTCCACTGTCTTGGTGCGTGAAGTGCTGTCAATCTTACCTCTTCCTTTTTCTCCTGGTCCCCCCAACAGAATCGAGATGCTGTTGAACGCGTCACCAACCTTACTTCGGAGTTCCTTCCTTAATCCTCCCAATCTTGGGCAATCTAACAACACGTGGTGAATGCTTTCCCGTTCGCCACAGACGAATAGGTCATCATCGCGGAATCGAAAAGCCTTGGCATATGTTGACGACCAGCAGTGTCCAGTTCGCAGTTGCTTTCCAGCTCTTTGCCATCTTACCCAGCTAGCCTCATGCAGGATGGCCGATCTTCCAGCCACCACTGCAGTTCTGCCGACAAGATCAGGACGGGATCCACTTGACCAGGATTCTTGAATCTATCAGTCTATCTAGACCTCATCCCTTATGTTTCATTCTAGGGCAACTGTGGGCCTTGCGCTCTGTTCTTGAAAAATCTGCCGGTACAGACCGCACCACCATTGCATCTCTTGCCCTATTACAGCTCTTTTAGCCATTGTGGTGGGGTTTCCGACCCGGTAGGCAGGGCGGTATCTTATTTCCATATCAGCAGAGAGCCAGGCTCGCCAGGGCTAAATTTCTCTCTTTCACAGAGTGAAATGGAGTAATTTGGGAGCATATCGGTACCATACCACCTATATTGCTCTGCTGGGTTTGTCGGTGAACATTGCCAACATGAATAATGCAACTCACTGAATGAAAAATTGCCGATCGCATGATCTTCCCTTTTCTTTATGCAAGAACTGCTGCTCGTGCCTCAGGCCTCTTAAAGTCAAACCAACGAAAAACCTGGATATCGCTGGGACTGCTCCGCCAGGCCTTCCAGACCAAAAAACAAACAAAAAGAAAAACGGGCGATGGTCAAGTATCTCTATTCCCTACCTGGTTATTTCCCACACCTCAACTGTTTTTTCGTCATTGGTTTGCGGATCCCCAAAGTCTGATACATCAGCCACTTTTGTCATGGGACCGGGGTCTGCACGGCTATCTCGGAGGTTGATCATCTCCACTATCCTTTCTAGTTTCATCTTATTTCGCTCTTCTGCAGTACCCCGTCTGTCGGGTATTCGCGCTGGGATTTCTGATCCCATTGGGAGTTCGATGTATGGACAATATATCCTAACAATTTCTGAGCCGTGTATTGTATTGTGCCTTACCCTAACATTTGGCACGGTCCCTGCAGCCGGCGTCGGGTCCCAGGGCAATATGGGTGGTGTTCCGACCAATATTATGCCTCTTGAATAACCAAACTGTGTTAACCTCAAGCCAATTTTTCGATGGTTACGGCCCTTACTATGGAGATACGTACCCATAGTCTTTACCTTTCTTTGCCGGAATGAGAAATGAAAAAAAGGAAATTAAATACAAATCGCCCAAAAAGAAAATCTTTGTTCCCCCCGCCCTCAATCTCATTTAAAGAAGAAATTTCCGGAAATCTTTGTCCGAATATGTTTGGACCCCTATGCAAAGTCACTGCTGCCGCCCATTATTTATTATAGCCTTGCCGAATAAAACGTATTTTGCCCTGGCAGGTCCCAAATCGTGGGACCAGTCGCCTCTCGGCTTGATCATTACCGGTGAGTCGTGTGGGAAGCTTGACAGGGTATATTAATGATCGTTTTTTGGAGCAAAGATCGATCCTGAGAACGGCTTTAAAAACGAAGGGATAATGAACATTTCAACCAATCGACACAAATGTCAATTGCATGCAAATTACATTACTTCTTTTGGAGATTCCTACTATCAATTACATACACACCCACCGTCTGCTTGGATTTCACTAATGCTCTCCATACATATATCTACTCCATACTCCAGGTAAGCCACAAATTATATATCCTGCAGCCTGCGAAAAGGAAATATTACTCAGGATCTGCCCTGTATTTTGGCAGTTCACTTTTTGTCTCTCATACAGAATCAAGTCAGGGTTGCAGAATTGGAGGCAGCATTCTTATTCGGCAATACCTGCAAGATACTTACCTATTGATGCGGCAAGCTTGGTCTTTTATTTGTTGACCCTCCAGGGCTGTCACACCAGATTACATCAGTAAATATTTTTCTGTTCCCCTTCTGGATCCTATTTTCTTTATCATTTCTCAATATTATTGCCCCTCCGTTGGCTGTGATTGCTATTTTGTATTCTTTTAAAAAATTATTATTTCTTTGCCCCAATCTGCCAATTTCCTCTCTACCCTCCTCTACCTTTCTTGGATCTTGGTCTGCAACAACCATAGAGTCTAGCCCAATGTATTCTCCAGCTCTTCCCTTTTTGGTAAAAGGTATATGGCAATGTCATCGCTCCCAATCAGGATATCATGTCTATCAATCCGGTGACGCGCACTTTTGGCTATCGGACGTTCACACATCTCCTCTTCCCTTCTGCCAACGTCTGGCCTAAAAGCACTAGCATTATCTTGAGCATTCTATTACCCTCACACTCACCTTTATAACCCTGAAGTTCTTCTGCATCCATTTATCGCATTTGTTCTATATTACCAACCCTGGTCTCCTCCGCCATTTCACTTCAATTATTCACATCATTTATCTCTACCCGGCCGCCTATTGTCCCTGAGATAATTTTATAAGTGCCTATTCAAGACCATTCGGCACAGCTTTCTGCTGCATTCGTTATATTCAACTTGCCTTTCTCATAGGCTCAAGCACACGCATTATCTTTTGACGGGTGCGCACGCCACGACATCCAGTATTGAGAGGCAATTCGACTAAATTGCAGATTCTTTAGGCCTGTTTCCTAAATTTCCTACTATTGTAGACATCACATTATTGGCACCCAAGACATCAAGGGCCAGCCGACGACTTTGGCGTCTCGCCGGTGTTACCTCAGTCAAACCAAACGTCAGGGTCTTCGAGGTAAATGGTATCAGCACGCTCAGGATGAACCCCTGTAAGCTTATTTCTTTTCTATTCCCTGCTCCTTCCGTCACGCGATTCCTTCGATGTTATTTTTGGCTCTACCTTCCTCATATAACCCCCCCGGTCTCTAACCTATGAATTCCCTAGCAGCTCTACTTTCGGAATCATTCTCATTGAATGATCCTGTAACTTCGGAGGGTGAATATGTCAGCCCCCATGTGACAGCGTTTGCGACGGATGAAGACGACAACAGCCGGCGAGTTGCAGGTTTCGCCTCCGTACCTAACACCAACTGGGTGAGGTACCACGCACTGCAGCCTGCGATGCAGGATTTACAGTATGTTATTTCTACCCTTTCAATCTGGACCGCACTTGCGCTCCACTCGGTCAGCCTTTCGACCCCTTGTCACTGCGCTTCCTCCGGGTCCGGACAACTTGGACTTCAGTCGAGCCTGTTTCTGTATCATCCATACCGACCTGCTGCCTGCATGCCTTTCTTCGATGTTTGTTCTTTTTACCTGAACTCCTGCCGTGCCTTGAGATCCTTGAATTGTCTTCTTACACACCACGGTTTTCTTACTGCGCCCGGAATTATACGCTAGCTTCTGGATTGCTTTAATTCTAGGCGATCGCACGTGGATTCTTTTATGGCGATGTGCTTTTACTAATTGATTTCTGACTCTAGATATACCGGCTCGAGTTCTCTTGCAATGGCCCCACTAGACTCCTGTCCTGGTAAGGCTTGTTTTTATTTTTTATACTTCCTAAAGACCTACTTTGACTGATGGTTGAGGTGTGAAGACTCCTTTTCGCCCACACCTGGTCCTATACTCCCTCATATCTCTCGGCTACAGCATCCCTTTGATAGGGTGATACACTGTCAGCGAGTGACGGCTCTGTATGCTTTGATCTACTATAAATTTAGTTGCACCCCTGATTACTGACTTCTTTTTAACTTTATAGTCAACCGCCTACCGGCATGCCAACAGGTATGCAAAGCTCAGGACATGGTTTGAACTCCACTCCAGCTCTTATGGAGCGCAATAATGCCCATGGATCGTATGCTTTACAGCGTGGAATTGGAGATATGGGCTTGCCACTTGCGGAAATGGGCGATGTTTCGCGAAACCATGGACGTTTGGGCACCCCCCACGCATTAGACGGAAACCTGGATCGAGCCCAGAGTGCTTTGTATCAACGGCCGATTGTGGAATCCTCGCAACGCTCACAGCCACAGGTTGAAGCTCCACCTTTTGACGACACGACTTATCTTGAAACGATTGTTGCAGAGTTTGGTGGACAGTATCAAACAGTGAAACCGGACGTCCAAGCAAAATTGGGCCGAGGATTCTTCCCATCGGACAGTAAATGGACTTGCTACCGACGCAACTACTTTGCTGTCACCTGCGGCTTTGGTCTTCATCCCTGGCCGCCAAATTCTGCTCTCTACATCCGCTATCATGATCAAACTCTTGAGCCAATACGTGGCTTTGCGATGGCCATTTCAGCAATTGCCAATGGCCAATGCAGTGAAGCACGAGAACTGGTTCAGCACACCCCAAAGCGCGACAAACAGTCCGAACGCAAGCCATGCCGTGTCGTTCTTCAACCTTCGCCTCCGCCTTCATTCACATCAACCTCGACAGTAAATGCAATCTTGTCGGGTTTTCCTCTCGGCTCGCAATCTATGGACTACAGCTCTTCATCCACAGGAGCATCTCACCCATGCCAGCCCCCAACGTCCCACACGTTCAAGCGTATTCAATTCCAAAAGGCAACCACCAACAATGGCAAGCGCCGTGCCCAGCAACAATATCATAATCTGGTCGTTGAGCTCTACGCCGAGATTGCTAGCTCGGTTCCCGGTAAAACTCAGTGGGTACAGATCGCCCGTCGCCACTCTCACCCCATGGTTGTCCGCGGACGCTCGCCTGGCCACTACAGTCACGGACGCCGAGGCAGCACTGGCAGCATGGGTCCGGATGGTACTGGCAGCGATAGCAACGGAGGTGTTGTTTCCCATGTACTGGGCCACACACGCCGCTCATAAATCCTGTACGACGCGTCCCATTGAAGCGGCCTTTCTCACGGCAGAGCTGATCATCGGCAGATAACCGTGAATGACCGTTCCCCACTCAGCGACAGCCCTCTCACCTCTTCCTCATCTTCTGGGTTCGAATATTCAATGGTTGATACTATGGACCCTATGGATACCATCAAGTCTGATCCTTACCTCAAGGCCGACCCTTACCTCAAATCAAACCCCTGTGAGGATATAGCCTATTCAGGGGTCCCTGGCCACCAGCATTGCCAGTCTAGTACTGGTGGATATGACCTTGTTTACTCAATGACTTATAGCTATTACTATCCCATCCACAACTCGCATATTCTATGCACTTAGACTGTTATTCTTCCATTTCTTGATTTATCTATCTCTTCTTTTCGTGTTCCACCTTTTTACCTTTACTCGATATGACCAATGCAACGGATTTACGCACTGTGCAGGACGGCGTGGGGGGTGTTACGCCAACCATACAATGAGGTATAGGGGATGTGGAGGAGGTGCCTATGCACCACCGGAGCTGTCTGTTGATATATCACCTCGCTTACCTGCTTGCATAAGCACGAGGGGATCCCCTAAGAAAGGAGGGGCTGGATCCTCTTAGGAGGACCAGCGATTAGTCTGAATATCATCATACCCATATCAGGCACATCTCACATTCCTCACTCGTATCCATATCGTATCAGGACATCCCCAGGGGGCTGTCCTAACAGGGGGATTATAATGCAATTTCTATTCGCTGTTTTATTTTCACCTTTTTCGTTTGATGGCTAGTGAATTTCGCACTTCGATTTTTTTGTTTTTTGTTATTCTATTATGATTGCTGGTCTTTCGCTTTTAACTGAAGTTCTTCTTTCGCTTTCCCTACTACCTCCCCCTCCCCATTTCTCTCATGTTTTCTGCCATTGGAAAGAAGCATACAGAATGCCATTGGAGATTGCGTTCCCAAACAAATGATAAAATCTCATGTGTGCCGAGGGTAATCGGCCGAGGAATTAAGGTCTGGACTTGACTAGATTATAGTAATCTAGACGGGGGTAGGGAGGATCCACCGTATGCTCCCGCAAATAACAAGTAATTCTATAAACTGTGTGTTCCATTGATATTAACTACTAGGTTTTTACTTGGCTACATTCGTCATTGAAACAAGGTCATATGTAGACAGTATGTAAACAACCCTGCAAGGCATTAAAAGCTAAAGCTTACCGTGCTTTGAAATTTCCACACTCAAACCAATCCTCCCGATCCGTCTATTCCTAGCGTGGGTTGTTAATTTCCCGATTTACTCTGGTAAATAGCCAGTAACCGTTATCTGCTGCGGACCTGGTCCCAGTCTCCATCTGTTGTAGGGGTTTTAGTCCCGTTCGCAATAGAAATGGGCTTATGCGATCTTGCCTTCTTACTTTTGCTTTTTCGCCTGTTTTTCTTTTTCCGGCCGACTCTCCTTCATTTTTGTTTGCTTGCCTCGTTGTCGTTCTTCTATCCAATCAGATTTGAAGCACACAAAGGCCAACGGTAATTTGCTTCTAGGGCTCGTATCCGATGACTACATACACCGATGCTCTCAAAGTAAGCAGCGTGGGTTGCCTAATTACTGATTGGACGAAATCAATTACAAGCCCATGCGAAATTAGATGGCTTAGTGTGGCTAATATGCGTTTTTAATTGTCGTTATATTTTTCATTTTTGCTTCTTGCTTTACTTTTTGGGGAGGCTCCGCTGTATTGAAACCAAACGAAACATGGGTACCGTACATACACGGCTAGACGGGGAGGATGGCAAGATGCAGACTCGATCGATATATCAGAGCCAATCAGGAAGTCCAGCAGCAGCTTGTTGGCTATCACAGCAAGGGATGCAGCATTAGCCGAGAGTCAGCGGTTCGGACGAGAGGTCTGCGAGTTGCAGCAGCAGCTTAAGTCCACAAATGCCGCTCTGCAGAATCAGGTCCCGTGGAATGATGTTCAGCTGGTGTTCGATCAGACACACGGGGATATGGTATCAACGACCACTGGATTTTGGAACACGATCGATGCCCTCCAGAACAGACGACTGGCATCCTATTTGCCAGGCTCCGGGGTGGTCCATGCAGACTGGCCCGAGCAGGGGGGCTGGCTACTCAGAGCCACGATATCACCCTTAGCCTTTCCGAATTGAATGTCCTGCTTCCTAGTCAGCAGGAACCGTCTGCGACCAACCAATATGGATCTCTTGTCTGAAGAGTGACGAATTTGGACTTTTTGTGTCTAATTACTCATGTAGAGGAACTGAGTGTTTAGACAGTACGCAGGTAGTTTATGGCAAAATTCAGCAATATTCGCACCATACCATGAAAAGGGTATAAGTCACGGAGTGAGTGTAATTCAGATCGGGTTGAGCCCTTTACCGGAGATTAGCCGTACCTTTGGCAATTTCTGGAGAGTAGGGCTGTGTGAGTGCTTTGGTTCCACAATCCCCGAACATGGGTAAGCGCATGCGCCTTGATACTTGGTGCACGTTAGCAGCAGGCCCACACTCTAGATACATAGATCCTTCCGCTCCAGAATCTTTGCTTACATCCATTCTACGATAATAACACTATGAGGAGATGAAATTTAACACATGTAGACAGGCAGAGATGGAGCGTTTGTTATCACGTCGATGAACTATGGTACGCCCTGATACTCCCTGCTTGATGAGGTGCCCTAGTGCACTAATCCGTCGGGACTAAAATGACCATGACTTTCGCAGCCACATAGAGACAACTGAAACTTTCAATCCGTAGCTCCTCGAGTTTCAATGAGAACTCGGTGCTTCTTGTGCGCACCCATATCACTCATTCCCGACCTTTGGCATACGCTTGCCGTGAATCAAATTCCCAACTAGCTCAACCACATATAGCAGCTGTCTAGGCTACCGAGAGTCAAGAGATCTCGCATTTTGTACCAATAGCATCGAACGCCAAGGACCCCATCTCAAGAACAGTCTCAATCAATGTTAAATCGCTCACAATCTCGAGTATGATGTTTTCAAGTACTACCCATACCTTGTTTCGGGCAAGGCATTCGATCATCCAGACCTTAATATGGAACTCGTGGGCCAGACAGAAGACAAATGATTGACAAGGCTTGAACTATAAAAAAAGCCCAATTTACTCGCCTAAATGGATTATCTCCTGACTATAGCCGGTTGGCCTCGAGAAACCCTTTCGGTACGCTAAGTTACTTTTCCGTTCATATTCCTAAGGAGTTGCGTAGCTTGGTGGAGGATTGGTAAAACTAGAGGTCTCAATGCACAATGACAAGATGGTACAGGAGTGGGCACGTTGTCAGTTTGGAATTGAGCCCATCGACACATATTCAGCAGCCAACCAATATACGGGCGGCTATTGGCTTGCTCGCATTCTATTCCATTTAGTCTTTGGCAGTCGAATCACGTACATATACCTCAGGACCAACACGGGCTGATACTTTGCTCTGGTCCAAATGGCCGAAAATCAAACTTTAATCACTGTTGCCCCGACGCAGAGATCGGCCGATTTTCTGGCCCCCTGTAGCTTTGATGTTGCCCTGTTTTGCCACATTCTTCATCTCAGTCTCCACGATCGCAAATCGAGCAAAGATATCAGCCAAGTCGTTGCCAACGGTTTCATTGCAGCTGCTTTGGACATACGATGAGCTCTCAATGGACCTGTATAGAAGATTAGCGCTTTAAGTTTTCACTGGAAGGTTGAAACATAACTGACTTTATTCGGGTATTTAGTCTGGACGTTATAAGCAGGCAACCCCGAAATCATGTTCTGTAATGAGGTCGATACTTACTCCGCCACACATTCGAGAGCTACCGCATTACCGTCTCCAGGGAGCTGAGTCTGTTTGGGTTTTTCCAAGTCCCTTTCATGTCTACAATTCATTCTCCGCTCTCGTGGAGCTTCCTTCTCACTCTCGTCGGCTGAGTTGCTATTTCCCTGGTCGCCAGAGCAGTCATTTCTGCCCTGCAAAGAAGACTTGTCCTCTGTTGTATCACCTGCCCCAGACACCGACGGACTGCGGGTGTCCTCAGACTTGGACGACAAGACAAGGCACGTTGCAATCTGCTCCGAAAGTTTTGTCGTCGATGAGTGTGCGAGACTTTTCGAATTCCACCCATACTTGCATCTGGGTCCCGCGGAGATGGGTGTTATTTCTGTTGCTGGTCGAATGTGACGGGAGAGGGTGCACAGGATTTTATAGAAAATTGGATCACGAACCAGAATCGAAGTGTTGCTTGCTTGCAATCGAGGGGTACCAGGTCTACCATTCCCCTTCCGTACTTTCCGCACATGGAGCACTATTTTGATTGCATTTAAGACAACGACTCACAAACTACTATAGAACTTTCACCGTCGAGGCCATCATTTTCTGCCCATAACTTCCACATTGCCTGTCAAAACACGCTGACAGATGATTCATCTGTTTGTATCATGATGGTATGAGCGAGTCTAGATGATGAACAGGAAGGCCAACGACTTTTGAACAAAACAAACAAAAAATGGGCCTGGACGAACGTGTTCAATGCGGTGGTGAAACCATGGGGAATCGTCAACAAAGACGGGCTCCCATTGCTGTGTTCATTCAACGTTGTTGATTCTCAAAGAAACCTGTCCCAAAGTGCATTAACAAATTAAGGGCGTTTTGGTCATTGAAATCATGAGTTGGTGAAAATGGTGTGAGTCGGAGACCAGCTCACCGGACTGAGCCGTGGCTCAAAAATGTACAGTGGTCTTTTTTTGATGCAACGCTAGTAACTCTTAAACTCAACAAACCTACATCTCCGAGTTCACTTTCTGCTGTTTTTTTCACCCGTTCTTACCACTTCTGCCACTTGCCCGAACATCACCATGTCACCACGTAGCGCAATGGGCTGGCCGGAATGGGAGGAGAAGAACCTTCTCTCCTGGCTGGAAGCCTATCGGACACTGCCGTGGAAAGCCCGCTCCGACGCATAATATAAACAATATCAGGTAGCCCGAAGCGTTGAGTCTCTACGAGGGAAAAAGTACCATATCCTGCGGAAGCGTCGTCGCACTGGCGCCAGATCTTCTGATCGTACAGGCAACCAAACACAATCTAAAGCCGTTCGTCGCTCGGTCGGTAAAAGAGCCTCCTGGCGGCTCTCCCGAACAAAATCTCTGCCAAAAGAAACATTGGCAAATGGTTCGAAACAATCCTCACGGCCGAGGCGAGCCAGACCGACGGCAAACGATCAAGTCAAACGAAAAGCACCAGAATAGGTACGTGATGCCTGTTATCCTTCATCCATTATATGCTGATATTAAGTCATAGGCTGCTCAACGCCAGTACCGACCCAATCCTGGCCTGAAGGAGCACGACCATCATCTTGGATGTGGGAATTTCATATGTCCTGGCCAAGGATAGCAGACGGTTACTGGAAGACTACGGGGAATCGGCTTAGTGTCAATTCTCCAAGGCAGCAGGCTAAGCGAATGGAAATCCAAGTAGAGTGTGGAATGCCGGAAAAACCTTCGAAATCCAGCCGATGGAGCCAATAGAGCCCCTTGGTGCTGAAGATCAACTTCCCTCCGCACTCAGGGAAGCCGGCCAAGAATGATCACCAACCAAATTCCATCGGAATTATGCAAGATGGAGACCATGGGGTGGGCGATAGACTAGAAGCCTCCAAAACACATGGGCATAATCCTGAGCCCAAATACTCCGCGCGGAAACCACCTTATTCACCCCAAGATATACTCATTTCCAACGATATGCGCAACCTTCAAAGTCAAGGCTCCGGCCAAGATTCTGCCGGCCAGCTGAACTGGATATTAAACTGACTTTGCGAATTCAAATTTTCTGCATGGTGTCTACTTGGCTATATTTGTGTAAAATAAGTTGAATTCGTTGGGTCAATATTGGAGCAGCTTCCATCCTTTTATAAATATAATATAGATAGTCCAATAGGTTGCCATTTGCTTCATAGGTATTCTATGTAAGCTTCTACCCCAGATAAAATCCCTGTTCGAAGAGAAATCGAAGGTTTCGAGAGACGCAAGCTTGTCAGGGATATACATGAAGCATACAGGACGGATAGAGATATGACCTGCGGGGCCCACTTGGTGCATCTAGATTTCCCTGAACTCGAGGAAGCCTCTCTCTTTTGCTTCCTCGCGCTACGTCTTGTATCTAAATTCGACTATAGTCTTTTTTAATATTAATTATTCATCTCGAAGACGCTGTCCTCATCCACGGATACCTGACATTCTCACAAGGTCCATAGGAACTCGTGTCACGATCCTGGGAATCCGTCGCCCGATATGGAAGATAGTCCTCAATCGCCATCCGGCTTGTGTCACCTGGTTCCGTTCTGGTGTCGTCTAAAACCTAGGCTGTCATCATCTTGTCATCCAGCTGTTCAATACTTCAGCAGTGGAAACCAAAGAGGCTTACCTGTATATGTGTTTGGTATTGCTGGCTGAAAGGAGATATTGCTGGTTATAGTAACGAAAATGTCCGTTAAAATATTTTTCTGACTCCCTGATGGCCGGCATATCTCGTGTCTTCATATCAAGTCTGTTGATGGATACCCTGCCGTAATCAATTCCGCATAACAGATGCTGCAAAAGCTTCACAAGAGCTTCTCTTCATTAATTTAAAAATATCTCACTCGATTGCAGATACATACCAGATTTAGGTAGATTGAAGGGTCTTCTATATTCGATTTCTGGCGGCCACCAGTACGGCAATTCACCACTCAAACTTCCTAGCGGGTCGATCAGATCAATCCATCTTTCCAATAGGCATTGGCAGATAGAGTGTGGGAGCATATTGATCTTTACTCCACAGTATTCCAACAAAAAGCCAGCGCGCTTCGGGGCTGATGGCTGTGTATGAACGAGAGAGTTCGTGCCTGTCTATAGCCTTTGATCACTTGTTCACATGGGGAATTGCTCTTTTAGAAGTAGCTTGATCGCTCGGCGTAATATGTCCGAGGTCCGTGCCCAAACTGACGAGGCCTTTGAATTTTTTCATTGCCTAGCAACTAGACCGTCGTTATTTTTGTAACTTCCCATTCAAACGTAGAAGGGGCTGCCAGCACTTGTGTCCTAATACTATCAATAGACTAAGACTAGAGAGACTCGGACCGAATAAACCCCGAATATGTTCCTCCACCTCGAGCGTGAATGTCGCATTAGGCGATACTCGGTAACCACTGCCCTTACCGGCTTGAGCTGTGGGACTTGATTTTTATTATATGTCCAAAATCGAAGCGTTCGTTCCATCGATTTTGGGGGGGGGGGTTATTATTGGGAATAGGTTCAGATCCGTGGGCTCGGCGCAAGATCATATACAAAAACAGTGCAGGGTTGAATTACCCATGAACTCTCTATCTCTTAGCGGTAGAATACCACTCTCAGTGCGACACAACACCGTAAATTCAAAACTGCAAGCCTAGCCGCTGTCCGCCTTCAACACCATATGACCCTTGCCGGTCGTACGCGTCACAGAGATTCGCTATTCGCATGAACCTCATCTCAGAAGTCTCAAAGCTTATGTTGTGCGTCACCAGTAGATCTTCCAAGCTTGTAATGGCTAGCTGCAAATGTATTATTGGTAACCGCGGCGGCTGTACTAACATCCAGAGCAAGAGCGAACGATGCGATTAGGCCCGCCAAACGACATTTGGATCCTGGGCCAGTACATTCAAGTATCTCCAACGCTTCTCTCTGCGTGTCGTAGATAGTACCGCCTCCGACGGTTCCAACTGGGAGACTTGGAAAATAGGTTGACACACAGAGCTCTTCGGTTCCCCGGTCGTATTCAAGAATCAAGTGGCTCCAGGCAGATTCTGCCACACTGGCAGCGTCTTGTCCACATGCGATGAACATTGCGGCCACAATATTGGCTTGGTTGACACTGTATCCCAACTGCCCATGTCGTGTAGCAGCCTCCTTGCTATTTATTGTGTGCTGGTAAAGAGCCCAAGTAGAACAGCCTAGAGTACTTTCACAGGCCATTTTGGTGATCCTCCCCCACGCCATGACAGAAACGCCACGTGAGTTTAAGATATTTCCCCAAGATAAGCTTTTCTCTGAGGCTAGTGATCCTTCGATGGAAACCTTCTGGAGTCTCACTTCTTGGGCTGTAGTGGATGCTGCAAAACGGTCACATGCCTGCTGTGTAGCAAATGTAACCATGTTTTGGCCTGCAGCCTCTCCACAGTGGTACTCAAGTACGACGTGAACAGTGTTTCCCACAAGGTGAGGCGTGATTTTTTCGAGGCAGGCGTATTTGCTGGTAGATTGTGCAGCATCTCGGAATTCGGAGAAGAGTTGAGGTAACAAGTCGTAAAATGATGCAGCATCCTCCACACAGGAAAACCAAAAGACAGGAGCTCTCGTCATATTGTCTCGGAGCAGTTTGAATTTAACTCCACCGCTGGAGTTCAAGAGCTTACTCCCCCGGGAGCAACCTGCTACTAATGTAGCTTCGCAAGTTGCTAATGGGGCGTGGAAGATGCCCTTTGTGCCATCAGAACCGCTTATCCTCAGAGGGCCGGCAATGCCAACAGGCACTTTGACAGAGCCAATGCAGTTTTCGATTTTAGCATTCTTTATTGAACTCTCATCCTCAACAATGTATTTGAGCTTAGACGTGATCCCGTTCCTTGATGCCATGTTCGTAATCGATATGTAAAGATGATTATGCTTTAGATATATTTGTCAGTGAAAGAAGACTGGGTAAAGTCGGGAATTTAGATGTGTTTTTCAACATCGCATGGAAATTCCTTCGAATATCTATGTCGCTGCCCATACTCCCTCATGCGTTAAGTTGGTGAGACAGCGTGTCGACGGTTCGACACGTAGAACTGTTAGCAGTGGTATATGCAGCCTGTTGTGTGGTTACACAGTCTGCAGTGTGGTTACACAGTCTGCAGTGTGGTTACACGGTCTGCAGTGTGGTTACACAGTCTGCAGTGTGGTTACACAGCATGATTGGAGCAATAGTACTTTCTGTTTTAGTCTGTGTTCTAGGATCTCTTTTGGTGAATGTTTGCCTCGTGCGAGAAAGGAAGTCATAGAGCAAGGGCCTTCCGATTGTCTCATCTGCTCATCCAGAATGATGACATTCTCAATCTGCCAGATTAACTGACCAGTCCCATCATCGTCGTTGGCGAGTCCTCGCCCCTTTTAGAGATGGACCGCGAACGGAAAGAAGGCGAAAGAAATCACCCATGAGAATCGCGATGGAAAGGCCACAAAATAATTCCGGAGAGTATCAGGTGAGAAAACCAGCGACCCCACATTGGTTGTTAATGACGCTTAGAATCCTCAAATCGACAATGCTCATTTTGTCGATCACCAGGATTGTCTTGCGCGCCCGCAGTATTCTGATGCGCTTGGGCATCGCTGCTATATACGAAATAGCATTACCCAGGGGATGGCATGAACTGTCATCTATAGTGTCTGAAGCGGCACCTGCGGGTGCAGTGAGAATGGTTTCGTGTTCTCATTACAAAATTTCCAGAGCGACTTCAATAGCCTCGAGTATATGGGGTTTCCCTTCGCCTGTTATGTAGAGAAGGTGTTGCTCGCACTGTGATGCGTCGTACAGGTGGACTGCCTAGATCGTCAGACAGCAGCTTGCGGACACAAGTGTTTGCTTGTGTTGAGCGGGATATCTTGGCTTACAAACGCTGTGAGAGAGATTCTAGTCGGATTGAGCACGAAAATGAGCACTGACCCATAATATCTATAGGAATAGGAAACAAACCGAACAGACTTTGAGACTGGTAGCCAGGGAAATATGGCAGATACAGGAGCCAAGCTGAAACGATTTATTTGGGTAGTTAGACCAGGGGCAGCCGGGGGTATTAGGAAGTGCACGGACATCAAGACAAATGGCAAATGCAGTAGTGGTTCGACCAACCATTTTCAATGAATACTCTTCCTTCAACAACGGAACCAGGAACACATCCGCTATTCACTCATGGGAGCTACGAGTCCTCTGGGAGCTGTAGTTACAACTCCCGGGAGCAAGCAAACTCGTTTTTGGTGCATTTTTGCCGGCTGCTATTTACCTTATTTAATTATTTTGATTTTACTCGCTGCTAGCATATCGCTTTGGCCGCTGCGGGTGCTCAGACGCCTTTCACATATTGTGCTACATCCCGTCTCAGACGGTGTATTCCTAAGTATCGCGTGGCCATTGCAGTGCCCTTATATAGAAGTCAGCTTGCGACTATCGGTAGTCTTGGACCATTGATCTCGGCGCTCGAACATCGAATATCTTCAAGATGCCTTCAATCGCAAACATCCATAAGCGCCCTACCTACGGCAAAGATGCCCACACCTACTACCCCGTGCTCATCGTAGGTGCCGGGGAGTCCGGTGTGGCCATGGGGTGTCGTTTAAAGGAGGTTCTGGGGATAGACCAGTTTCGAATCTTTGAGCGTCAGTCGGGCATTGGTGGCACTTGGTGGATTAATCGGTATCCCGGCGCCGCCTGTGACATGTATGCATAGTCCACTCGACTTGACCCTGTCGATGTCTTCTAATACAGCTTGTATTGCAGCCCGGCTCTGTTTTACTCCTTTTCCTTCGCGCCTAAACGGGATTGGTCAACGCTGCACCCATCTAGTCCCGAAATAGTGCAGTATCTCGCAGATGTTTGCGAGAAGTATCAGATCGTCGACAAGATCCAATTCAACACCGACGTTAACCATCTTCAGTGGATCGAGGAAGATGAAGAGTGGGAAGCCACGCTCTCCCATCTCGTTCCTGGAACTGGTGATTTCTCCAGTCACGATCGAGCGCAGCTTGTTATCCAAGAAGGCCCGCACAGGGTATTTACCCAAATCGAGGTTGTGCGGGCCAAGATTGTCGTCAGCGGCGTGGGAGGCCTGGTCGAGCCAAATACTTGGGCCAAGGATATCCCCGGTATTGACGACTTCCAGGGAGAAATCATGCACACGGCCCGGTGGAACAGTGACTTCGATATGCAGGACAAGGATGTCGTCGTGGTGGGCTCGGGCTGCAGCGCCGCGCAGGTTGTCCCTGAGCTGGCCAAGCCTGAGGCCAACATTCGCTCTATCACGCAGCTAATGCGCACTCCTCCCTGGGTTCAGCCTGAGCTGCTACCACCTCACTTGTTGAGCTAGTGGGAGAAGTGGATGCCCGTTCTGATGACTCACATCCCTGGGCTGGCGCGCTTCCTGCGCAACATTGTGTTTTTCATGTGCGAACACAACTTCCTTGCCATGTTCACGGACACTGCGTATAGTCGTTGGCGTCGGCCCCGGATGGAAGAGGCTTTCTTGAAGAATATGCGCGCAATGGCGCCCAAGGAATACCACGAGGTCCTTACCCCTAACTACAGCCTCGGATGTAAGCGGCGTATCATCGACGGCACTTGGTATCGAAGCTTGAATGCACCAAACGTCGAGCTGACGACCCAGTCGCTGACTCAAGTCCACGCCAAAAGCGTGACACTGGGCCCAGGCTCGCATTACCCGCGCAACCGGAAAGGGTCCACTGACGAAGTCAGAGAGATTCCAGTGGATGTGATCATCTTGGCAAATGGCTTTGTGACCAACCAATGGCTTCATTCACTGAAAGTGATCGGAAAGGGCAACAAGAATATCGAAGATGTCTGGGCGGAGCGCGGAGGCGCTCAGGCCTACCTGGGCATCGCGGTGGATCAGTTCCCGAATTTCTTCATGCTCTTCGGGCCGAACACCGCCACTGGCCATACCAGTGTCATTTTCGCGACCGAGAATGCAGTCAACTACTCGTTGAACTTTATCAAGCCTATCTTGGAGGGCAAGGTTAGCTCGTATGAGATTAAAGAAGAAGCCGAACGAGCTTGGACCAAGCAAGTGCAAGATCAGCTGCAGAAAACAGTCTTCCGCCATGGCGCCTGCTCTAGTTGGTACATCACGGCAGATGGCTGGAACTCGTCGACTTACCCGTAAGTGAACTATACACACCAATTTTGTGTTTCCGCTGATCCGGCATACAGATACTCTCAAATCCATTACTGGCTGCGGTGTACGTTCCCTGTTTGGCGGCATTGGACTGAGAAGAGGACTCGCAAGGGTGTGATCCTACGGCGAATCTATAAAACCATTCAGTTGTCTTTGCTTATCAGTGTCATAACCGGACTTGCGTTGCTGCGGGGGAGCCCTCAGTATCGAAGCAAGGCTGTACAGACTCTGTTGGCTGGCAGGGACTGGATCTTGTCGAAAGCATGATCTGGCTGAGAGACATACTATGTTGATGATTTCTGGGAATTTGGTCCGTGCTAGTATCAGTATTCACCAATGAAGCGATTCAGACTGATATTGAGATGTGATGTTTGAAAGGTGAATTCTTTGTTAACTAGTAGTTAATGACGCCTACTAATCATGGATGGTCATGAAAGGCATATTACTGCTCAATTCGACGAAATATGCGCAGATAACATTGTCGGCTCACAGGATACCCGTATGCATTTATACTATGAGATAATTGATTGATTGAAGAACTATCCGGGAGAATGCTCTTGATCACTGGCGGTATGATAGACTGCAACATGGCTCATGACTTTCCCCTTGAGCAAGGCCTCGTCTAGCGGCAGCGCTTTGATCAAAAGTAGATATTAATATCTGCTGTTTCCGATCCTCGGGTCCGGGGAGATAAGAGAAAAATTACGCTTAACACAGTATATCATATCCTACGCAGGGTCTTCTTCGATGTATGGTTCATCATGCACGATAATTATCGGCGGTTGCACGGCATCGGCGGTTGCACAAGATCGGCAGGTTGCTTTTTGTTTTGTTTAACGTAATGCCAACGAGTTTCAAGGAGATTGCTGAATGTATGAAGGATTGCAAGACGGGATATTCCTGATAACTTTATGTGGCTGGTAATGTGCATTATTCCCACGAGTATTACAATTAACAGGCTGGTTTATAATCGGAAACTTATACATAGCTCTTCAGGCGAATTAAGGGTAAAAAACTCATGTCCGTATCAATTCTGAACGTAATAATTTCCGCGCTTTCGGTCACATGTCGTGAAAGCACAATTGAACCGGGTATGAGTATCAAGGATTCAACGATCAGACCTGCGAATACGTCAGAGCGCGCCCACAACTGCGTCCCTCCCCCTGAAAACCGCAAGATGTACAAAATACATTTCAAAATTCCCAAAACCAGATATCGAAATAATGCAGATTTGCGCAGCTCTGCATTTCAAAGCTTTGCCTTATCTTTCTTCTCCCATCCCTCTATGGCCTGCAGGCTTCTCTTCCGCATAGCATCCTTTTTCTCCTCTACCTTCTCCCGCCACGCTAGGTTCCTGGCATGACCATCAAGACTATTCAAGACTCTTGCATACATCTCCTCCTTCATGATACCATAGATGCCCGTCGCAGCCTTAGTTAACAATTTCCGGTCGCGAATTAATCCCAGGACCTCATCCAGCCCACCCACCGCATCGACAATTCCCGCCTGTAGCGAGTCCTTACCACAAAACCGGTGGGCTTCCAAAACTGCACTACGTAAGGTGGTTGAGTTCAATTTCTCATGGAAAAGCTGCATAATAGGGGCTTGGAGCGGCACGCCGAATTCCAGTTCGTTGATGCAAAGGAATCCTTGTTCTGGATTTTGGACCCGATAGTCGTGGCACATGGCCAGTATTAATCCACCCGCAAAGGCATGGCCGTTCATTAGGCAAACAGATGGCATGGGGTATCTGAAGTAAAGTCTTAGCTTTGTTTTTTTTTGCTATCCGACAACAACCAGGATTGATTCGTACGTCAAAAGCCGCCGGAATAACGGCCACAGCCACTTTTCGAGGAATGCCTCTGTGTTCACTGCCACTTCCAGATCCAACCCGTTACTGTAGAACTTGGTGATGCCACTAGTGGTGACTACAACGCCCTCAGGATACCGGTGCTCAATGATGTCCAGTGACAGCAGAAGCGCATCGATAAATGTTGCGGTCAAACGGTTATCTTTCGGCGAAGTGATGATCAACACGTATATATTCTGTTCCTCGTGGACCTTGTTGGCTGTCAGGTTTGCACATACGATGGAGCCGCCAGTCGAGGCGATCGGAACAGTAAAATGGGTGAGCATGATGGTGACCACGTGTTAATCGTGTAGTTCCAAATCTCGAAAGCTACTTCATAGATGTACTTTGATGCAGATCATCATTTGGAAAGACTGGATGGGATAGGTATATATATAAATTGTCAATTATCGGCTTTGTCAAAGTTTGGATTCCTGTGTGATAAGTCACAATTCAACAAGCATGTGGCTGCAACTAGTTAAAATTTTGGTTACACGGCATGGTCACATTGTGTAACTACCAATACGGTCGAATCATGGGCCTTGCGAATTTAGACCTTTTAGCGGAATGCTGGCTTGATCTACTAGATTTTCATAAATAGCTGTTTGGTCCCTATACTTTGGCGATTAATTGCTCCTGCCGTAATTTGGATCATAAATGGCATCTCGAAAAGAACGCAACAAGGCGAGATGAAGATATGTTCGAACTGAGAGGTGGTATTTTACCGCTAAGAACTGGAGAACTCACAGGGGAACCAACTCCGCATTGTTTTTGTATATTAACGTATTTCACATGCGAGTGGATCACACAAGCGAGTGGATCACCCCAAAACACATAGTAAAAGCGATAAATTACAACTTGATATCTCAACAACGATAGTCTATATGGAGATTTCCTTATAGCTTAATGCTTTTTAGGTGATATCTAGCATCTTTAGGGAGTTTGAGGAAAGTTTATGACTTCATGATTGTGATATATATATTTCTAGTTTTTAGCAACGTAATTTTCGGTATTTTTTGAAATGATGATAATATAGCCTTCTACTTTCTTTGAAATTGATAAATGATGCTAATAAGTCTCATCAATAACTATCGATAAATAAGGAGATAAAATAAAAACTTGGTTGTTGAGATATAAATGTAGAATATATCGCATTTACTATGTGTTTTGGGGTGATTCACTCGCTTGTGTGATCCACTCGCATGTGAAATACGTTAGAGGGTGACTTCCCCGGATACCAGCGTTGTAACACGCTAAACAGCATCCTGGACGTGAGATGCCTTTGTCGAATTATAGGATACCCCAGATTACAATGAGAGCAGATCAGCATCACGTGACCATGCAGGTAGTCAATAGTAAGAATCTGCCAAGGCAAGTCTACTTCTCTACTATCTACTCATCTACCCAGGAAAGACTCAGGATATATAAGGACACTCATTCATGTATATAGCTTAGATCTTCGTCTCCAATCATACATTGTTGCGTGTGTTTTGGATTACTGTCAGACTTGTTGTGATATATGGCTAGTGCAGATCAGGAACCAAGCCTGTTGTAGTTCATAGGTATGAATTGTTGTATTTATTCAGAGGGAAACATGAGGCTATATATACAACGAGAAGATCAAGTTGATTTCCAATCAACTTGATTCTTCGTATAGACACCTCGGGATTAATTCCGATGGTTCGGCTTGATTCCTGATCTGCACCAGCCTCAGATCACAACAAAGCCGAATCATCGGAAATAATTCCTTCACAATCTATACGAAGAACCAAGTTGATTGTAAATCAACTTGGACCTCACATTGTATGTATAAGCTCCTGAATCCCCTCAGAAATAAGAACAATCAATCATTCCTCTAAATTACAACAATATCAATTGAAATGAGATCACGACCAATTTGATTTTATCTCGACTCTCAGGTTGGTGTTTTTGTTAAATCTTTCGTAGATGACCCGCGAGATTAGGAAGGAAGAGAAATATCTCTCCTGCAAACAGTGGACTCTGTACCCGGCTTGCGATACAAATGATATTTTGCAGGGATCCCAATCTATTTAAAGCAGGAATTTCTGCGTACGTTATCTCCGCCTCGCGCACAAATGGAATGCAGCTTTAGCCTTAGAACTGGGTTGTTTTGATATTCACATTTGGACAGGCAGTGACTTAGAACTATGATGAAAAAAGTAGGTAAGTTCGTGCAAGATACTTGATTCCTCAACTCCGGCTTGGGTTAACTTCGAGAGTAGGTTCACGGTTCTACACCTCGAGTGTTATTTTCACTGAAACACCTTAAATGTATCTTAACTAGTCGAATATCTAACTCCCGTGGCTAATAATACTGAAGTTTAGTTAGCTGAAAATCCCGGATGATCCCAATAGGCTAAGAAACCAGTCCCTTCATAACACCCGATATATTCAGCCTCCATATCCGTGCCCTTCAAAATGCCAACATCCACCCATAACAGTATGTTACCGTCCTGCATCACACCGCCTTGCCCATATGCATCCATAAAGTTGCGCCTAAGAGCAACATGGGTATTGCATTTCCGACTAATGCGCTCCAAATAAGACATATCAAAAAAGTAAAACAGTTCGACCCTCCGATTCAAAGTCAGCGCTTTCGGCAATTTGTCAGATTTAATATCCATATCCAAATCCAAGCGCTTGTTAGGCCCACTTTCAATAGAATGACAGAGCCGAGCAGAGATTATCCCCTCCTCATGGCTCGCAGTGGTAGAAGTCACGATCCAGTCGTTGGTAAGATCCTCAAATTTCTCAAACCAGTATTTCTTCTCGGGGGCCTCCATTGCACTATGATCCTGGCCTTCGACCAAGAAGCAAATGTTGTCTGGAAACCGTTCAATTGCCGTGCGGCCCAGGCGGACCTGAGGTCGTAACCCTGGCTCTGCAGCCGGCGTAGGGGCAGGGATCCCAATCTCAATATCGGAGCTAAGTTTATCACTGGGAGTTGACTCTTCGATGCGATCACGATAAGCGCCCCAATATCCTGATTTTTCCACGAGCGGCTCGAATTTGGCCACGTGCGAAAATCCATTTGTGATACGCTTGTTTGTCTCGAATAAAACTCTAGAGGCTGGGAACGACAGCTTCTCACGCCAGAAGCCTGCGTTATCTGGCAGTGATTTCCAGAAATGTACAACCAGTTCACTATTCCACCATCCCTCGTAGTCTGTTTCCCGTCTCCAATATGCCATGAATACTGTGCCAAAATAGCCCGGGATGATTGGGTCCTCTTGTTCTAAAATTTCGACATGCACGGCTGAGCTCTGGACTAAATCCTGGAAGCGGTGGATCAGATCTGATTTTTCTTGATCGGCTGATGGACCATGGTACTGGCATCCAAACAGACATTGAACAAAGGCCCCAGAACGAGAGAACTTGGCGGCCAGCATGGTGTCTGAGAAAGGAAGAATTTCGAGTACGGGTAAAGAGTTTGAAGGCCGGTTTTCTGGTTAAAAAGGAACAAGACGGGGTTCCTTGTGTAAATATAACAGAAGGGAATGAAAGTGATGCTGACAGTAGTCCAACTAGCTACCACGTATTTATAAGCATAATTGCTATCCTCGCAGATCTGTATCGGAGCAATTTCCATCCGCAGCTGAACCCCGCAAGGCTGTCGAGTGATAGATCAGGTGGACATCCGGATATGTAATTCTTATCCTATAATCGTGCTTTATCAATCCACTCTGATGCTGTAAGGGGTTACACGCATTATTATCTGCATTATCGGAAGGTGTCCAAATCAGCAATGATGTGAACCCCCGGAAACACATGTAGAACCAATTCTGAATCGAAGAAAAATACAAGAAAAACAACCAAAATAGATGCGAACCAGATAGCAGAAGCAAAAATAGAAATATACATAGAACTCTAAAGCAATCCATTTCTGCTTTACGTTCTGCATGGTCTGGATACGCCCGCTGTTATGCCGTTTCGCATGCTTGGCAGGTACCGCACTTGCCGCAGGAATTCTCGATGTCCTTGAGAGAAGGCACCAAGTAAGCGATGCATCCGAGACAGTAGCAGAAGCAGAGAACGGCAGCCCATTGAAAAGGTGAGCCACCATCCTTTGGTTTGGATCTCGGGTTGTTTACGTTCTCTCAGATTTCGGTCCCAATTAAACTCCTTTGAGGGGTATAGATAGTGTTTAACTTACTGTGTTAAGTCCGTTGATACATGACGGAACAAGTATGTCCCGCAACATGGGACTGGTCTAGTCTTGTGTCATATGTCTTATAGCAACATTAGTCAAAGATCAGCCGACACAACCTCGATAGCGAGACTAATTCTAGCTCTTTCATGGTTACGGCATTATTAGACACCAGTAGCACTAATTTCGCTCGGAATTACGCCTAATTGGCATCCATCCACTCAGCAATGACTTTTATATCAATTCAAAGCAAATGCGCTTTGGTTTCGTATTTTCATACATTTTGTACGTAACAAGTCTCAAGATTTAGTAATGATTTGCCTCAGAAAATATCTATGTACCACAGGAGGATATGCTCAAAGGCATGTTTAGAAACATATGACCCTTTTGAAAGATCATACTGGCTCTTTGTAGTAGGATCTTTAACGGTTCTCAAAACGCGGGGGTCACGGAGGATGCGGACATGCCCTGAATAAGAAATGAATTTGTTCGTCGGTCGTTATGAGAGGGCATATGACGTCACACTCGTGTAACAATTGTTTTACAAAGCACCATTGATATTCTTATTTGCTCCTGATGTACATCCGCAGTCTACAATTTGAATGGCCCAAGGGATGTTATCAAATGCATCTATATCTTGAAGTGGTAAAAGGATGAGGTCATGGGTTACCCTTTTATCAATGCTAAGGTATAGTCGGGCTGACGAATACGCCTTTGCATTTCCCTAGCAGCCTTTGATGGATTTTCTTGGTTATATATGTCCGCATATTGTGATACTTCGATGAGTAATGCGACGTCCAAGCGGTATGAGCTCCTTCCGTACGCGCATGCTTTTTTACGAATTTGATAAGGAGGGTACTATATTTTTATGCAGCAGATCAAGCGGAAAGATTGCGGGCTAACTGCTACATTGATTCCTATGTATCAAGCTCTTTCTATATGCTTGGCTCGATTCATAAATCGACATGTGCCGGCAAAATGAAACGTAAAATAATTGGGTAATTTGTCCTTATCCGGTATGCGCTCAGTGTTGTGCTCTTGCGGTAAAGAGAGATCATGTCATAATAATCACTTCGGACCGAAGACGAACAAAGCATAGATCACCGGACACTCTCAGTATTACTTTTGTTCAAGTTGATTAAACTTAGTGTATCATTCGTCATAACCCGAATATTCAACCTTCTTGTCCTACGGGACAGCACTGACCCTCAATATTGCGCGCATGTCAATTGTGTGACGCGATGACGCGACCAACCAGTTATGGTAGATATCCCGCTGCAGTGTCCTCGCTCATGTCTGACTTTCCCTGAATGCAAGGTCTACATGTCCATACTGCTATGCGAGAGTTCTGCTGCGGCAGATTTTACTTGCCTGATCTGGTTGGCTTTACGTACCTGTAATGCTAGATTGGGTAAATGAGATCATTATAACATCGTCATAAGTCGAATGTCGATTGTTGATGTATTGAATTTATGAAATATCTATTAAGGTGTATTGGATCTACAATGTATGGCCATGGGATCTACGGATCGCTGAATTGGGCAGTACACCGTTCACTCGCCATGTACCTTGTTCCCCTCATCACATATTTCCCCAACAGATCGCCATGCATGTATGGCCAGAATAGTATATAGGCCTCACAGGTTAGGTATGGCTTTGTACTCTCGGCCTTATGAGGAAAGGTAAAAAATGGGGACAGGCGTCTTCTAGCTCATATTACACTCGGAATATAAATAGACCATAGCAGTAAAGCCCAAAGAGAAATATCCTTCGTGCTCCGTAAAACCATTCTTTCTTTCTGGCCGCAGACATTTCAAGCTTCTAAGAGGCCCGCCAGTGTGCAGTATTCAACAAAGATGCACTCCCATTATGATGCAATTGTGGTTGGCGCAGGATTTGCGGGAGTTCGGAGTGTTCAACGGTAATATTCCCCATTCTGCTTTTTCATCCGGTGACCCAATGCTCTATTCTAACAGTCGTCTATTAGTCTACGCAATTGTGGCTTTTCTGTTAAAGGAATTGAGCGATCCTCGTCCCTTGGAGGGGCATGGAGAACCAATTGTTACCCAGGGGCCCGATGCGACAGCCCCGCTCCCTTTTATCAAATCATGGATGAAACCCTTGCACGGGATTGGAATTGGTCACAACGCTTTCCCATGCAGCCGGAGGTTCTCGAATATTTCGAATATGTCGATTCAAAGCTTGACATCAGCAAGGATTATGACTTTGGAACCACAGTCACCCAGGCAGTGTTTGATGAGACAAACGCGGCGTGGAATGTATCACTGTCTGATGGTAGACTGCTCCTGGCAAGATGGCTCGTCCTTGGAGTTGGGTTCTCATCAAAGACCCGTGTACCTAATATCGAAGGACTGCAGCTGTTCGAAGGCGAAATCCATCATACTGGAGCTTGGCCCGAGTCCGGGGGTGATGTAAAGGGCAAGAAAGTGGCCATCGTTGGGACAGGGACTTCGGCTGCCCAAACTATTCGGGAGATTGGTCCCTCTGTTGCATCTCTGACTGTATATCAGAGAGATCCAGCTATTGCCCTTCCTCTCCTGCCTAACGACTCTGTGGACCCAGATCCTTCTTTACCTCAGCGAGGAGAGGGAAACGGTCTTTTTGCTGCGAAAGCGCTCTCCACATTCACTGGGATTAATCATGCCTTTCTCAATCCCAATGCAGTTCCTGCAGATAGTCCCACACGACAGGCCTACTACAATTATCTCTATGAAAAAGGAGACTGGAGCTTGCTTTACTCCAACTTTGAGGATATGTGGACAAATGAATCGGTCAGCAATGACGTTTATTCCGTCTGGGCAAAACGAACTCGAGAGAGAATTGAGGATGCAGCCAAATGTGATCTCCTTGTTCCGGAAACACCAAATCATCCCATCGGCACTAAGAGAGTGTGTCTCATCGACAACTACTATGAGACGTTCAACCGGCCGAATGTCAGCCTAGTGGACATCGTCAAAGAACCCCTGAGAGAAATCACCAAAACCGGAATTCGAAGCGGGGAGGAACATCACGACTATGATATGATCATTTTTGCAACTGGTTTTCAACCCCTTGCAAGTGGTATCCTCGCAATGAATATCACTGGTAGAAGCGGCATGAGACTGGAGGATTCGTGGAACAAGTCGAGCAACTCCTATTTAGGAATGACTGTCCCTGGATTCCCCAACATGCTCTACCTTAATGGACCTGGTTCCCCAACCGTTGGAGTGAATGCCCCTACGGTCATCGAACACCAAACTCAGTGGATGATGACATTACTGAACTTCCTACGGAAGTCCTACATCTCAACTTTCGAGGCAACTGACGCCGCTGCTCAAGGGTGGCGCAAAGAACTCATAAAGCAATGGGATGCATCATTGTTCTCGTCGGCTATTATAATGCAGAATAACAATCATGCTTCTCGTGGCAAGGAACCTACCTGGTAAGTCCAAAATCTGGATGTTTCTGCTTGAATCCCACCGCTCACCCGCATAGGATCACCGGTGCCTATGATTATGGTGCGCGAATCAACCTATGTCAACCACCAGATTTGCCAGGATTCGCCACCCCGAAGGGAAGAAGCTTCTTATGCAAGTCTTGGAATTGTCATGGACTTGTTGACACGGCTTGTGTGGGGTGTCAAACATCTCTTTCTTGCTCATCAGACGCTCTGGCTACCTAGGTACTTGGTGGTTTAGTTTCTACCTATCCCATTTCGGCGACTCCTTTCGTCTTTTTGTTTTCTCATGTTGATAGTTGAAATTTTTAGTTGGATCGTGATGGATGTCGACGGCGTGTCGAAAATCCAGGCAGGTTCACTTTCACACACAGAGATAACAGCCGCAGTAATACAACCACTCAACCTAAATCCTAGGATCCTTTCTTCGGGGAGTCTCATCCACCTAAATAGTGCCGTGAGACTGATGATATCTGGAAGCTATAGTTTGTAATCGCTCCAGTACCTGTAATGGTTTCTCTGTTCGACGACCTGTTAGTACATATAGTATTTACTAGGTCAACCGCGTCCTGGAAGATATCCAACCCTTGGTCTGAGCACATTACTAGAAGGTGTAATTGCCCCTGTGAGTCAGGCTGGCTTTTATTTATAGTTCCTTGGATTCCCCTTGCTCTGAATGGTTGATCACATTCCACAATCACATGGGTTATTTTCCTACCTGACAGAAATAGTGCTTATTGTATGGAAACCAGAAAGGATAGTAGTCTCTGATCGATTGAAACTATGGAAAAGCACAGGCAACTTATACTAGCAGGATGACGCGATCTCACGTACAAATCAGGTGCGACCTCCGGTATCGATGACATCCGATATTCGGAGAGGTAATTCGACTTGTATACCGCAGGTGGATCCACCCTTTATGCCAACATCTGCTGCTAAAGACTAGGAGGCAGGCTTTCTGTCATCATGCTCCGAGATGGTTCCATCTCTGTACTTCCTCACTGATTTGAGCCCAGTGACTGTGACTGTAACTCTTGTGCTTCGTCACCGCCTTGAGCCCTAGTGATTGTAAATTTGTGCTTCCTCTAGTAACGTGATGGTGCAGGCACCTCTTCGTCGTGCTAGTGATCAGTACCCAAGAATTCAAAGTGAATCCTCGAGCATGCCAAGACTTGTATTAACAAGTTATGTTCTTTTATGTTCCCAAGACCCTTTGCTTTATCCATAGCTGGACGATACATAGTTATACAAAAATTCAGCATTAACTTTAGTGCTAAATTTGCTGTCTGCACCATACTGTAAATTTTTCTCCAGATAGAATGGCGAAGCTTATCGCTGCTCCTGGGATTAGGGATGGTTGCAATGTGGTTGTGCAGCAGCCTCATCGTTTTGCTAGTTTCAAGTTTCTTCATGCTTTGGTCGTAGGTGCCTGTGTCACTCCGACAGACCCGGTTCTTTCTAAATCTATCGTCAAGGGCAAGTTTACTGACAAGCTTGTTCCCCGTCCGCTGCATCGGATCATCGTGGCTGAGTCCGGCGCGAGTGATGGTCTTTGCTATACTTTCCTCTTCTTTGGCATTTACCTGCTCAATTTTACTGGAATAGATGGTCAGGGCTATAGCGGTGGCGCGGGGAAGGCCATGGGGTTGTGGTTCTACGAGACCTGGGTGTACCCCATTGTCTTGAGTGTTATCTACGGAGCTGTGGCTGGGTTCTTCCATAAGGTGCACCAATATGGCTACGTGCAGCGACCAATCTCAGGATATCTGATTGAAGTTTTTCTTAGAATGGCAGCAGACCCTAGGAGCTCACAGGGTAATTCCAGGAGCTGCTTTACTACCAAGAGATCGGAGACGGTTTCCGTGGCCGCCGATCTCAAGGAGAAAAAGGCATCTGGCGAGGCTCACTATCAGCTTGGCCGTTCTTTATTAAGGCAACATTTGTGTGAAGAGCACATAGCACATATAAACTTTACGGCACCCGGAGATATTGACCTGCTCCATCTTTCTACCTCCCACTCTTTACCTTGCTCAACTATTCCCTCAAACGAGACCTACCTCACCTTCTTGTATTCGGTAAACCCGTTCTTGCAGACATAAAATGCCGCTTAAAACTGCTGTGGCCGTGATTCAGATGCGTTTCGTCATCCTCTTCCTTATCATTACCTGGCTGGCGTTTGCCAGTCTCAGCTCCGCCACTGCACGCTTACGGTCGTCCTGTGAGTTTACACAAAATATGACCTCGTCACCCCGGGCAGCTCTATTTTGTGCATCACATTCCAAAACGTCATGGTCAACTTCGTCGAGGGGATGATAATTGTGGCCCTGGTCTCAGCCCTGTTTCTTTCTTTGGGTTTGTCCTTGTGACCTTACCCGAAGCGGCTAAAAGATAACTGCAACGTTAGGTTCTACTACGGTTGCAGTTATATCGTCGTGAGCTTGATCCTGCTCTCCTTAGGGGGTTATGTTGCCAGCCGCGTCCACGGATTTCAAGCATCTTTCGATTTTTCTTTTACGGCAAGGGCCACTTTCCATATTACAAGATCATCTATTATGGAGCCGTTGGCCAGGCCGCTTCAGATCTCTAGTGGTCATTATGTTTCTCGTGCGTTTTGCCGTACGTGGCTTACACGGTCACTAGCAGAGTACGCGCATCGAGCTACAAAACAGTCAAAGTGGCAGTTCCAACTGCCTCCTACAGTACGGCTGTGAAATACGAGGCAGCGAGGATTACGAATAGAAACAATCCCAGATTTTCATGATGATTTTCGAAGAATGAGGGAGGGAGGTGGAATGGACTTTACTACAGTACAGAGTTGCTAAGACAATTCACCAATTGAATTTCAGGATCGGGGTAAGAGCATGTTTATCTCCTGATTTGACTAGCCGGCTGATCGTGGCCAATATTGGAGCAGTATTCAGAGTGGCTTGATGTAAAAGACAGGTGATGGTTGACGGCCTGCTCTGCGTAAATATCCATTGTTGGTCGTGAAGACTTCAGAAGCCAATCTTAGAAACATGCGAGCTGCCCAGGGATCACATAGCCTCAGGAATTCGTACGTAAGTTGTAGACTCTCCATTCCCACCATCAGAAACCCAGTGACGTTCCTGTTGACAGCTCTATCAGCCCTGGGAATACACGTCTTGGCCCTAAGAGCTCTTTTGCTCCCGGAGACTTCAGTGCGGTTACCGGGAGCATACAAGCAGCTTCTGGGAGCCACGTAGCCCCCAGGAAGCCCAACGGAGCTTCTGGGGTCTGGTAGCTCCACCTCGGGGAACCAAAGGTATGTTCCTGTTGACAGTTTCATCAACTCCTGGAACCTCAAGTGCGGTTCCTGGGGCTATAGCTTGCCTTTCCAGGAGTCGTTGAATGACTCATATTTGTGCGCAGGTCTGGTAAAGGTATCTTGTGAGGGCTTTCCGCCACCTCAGAACGCAGAATAATGAGTCCAGGATCCAAAATTAGGGCCCCAGGAGCACGGTTGCTCCCAGATCTAGCCATTGAATTCCTAGAGCCAGTTCGTAACCAGTCAGGATCGTAGAGTGGATTCCCAGGGGTAGACCTCAATTCCTAGAAACAGGAACTGGCCCTCAACAAGTCGGTTGGGTAAAATGATCAAGTCTCACAACGTTGAGGGTCAGATATGAACGCTCATTGAGATATATATTTCACTCGGACACCTCGTCCCCTTTCGTTGAAAGTCTCAGAAATCTGACAAGTGGAACATTGTAGAACTTATAGTAAAAAAAAGAAGTTCAGAAGAGAAAACTAAAAAATAAAAGTTCAATGTATCTATGTTCATGATCACAAGTTCGAAAATTGAGTGTTGACAACTAACCGGCCCTTACAATTTTTTACCAAAATTACAGACCCTCGCAAGCGAAATTTTACGACCAATTGTCCATTTGTGGAAGAGCTGAATCCACTGATATGCTAGAGTATCATTGATATACCCAGTATCAGTTATAGATATATGCTCGTCACCTTCAATAGCGTCAAACCAGCGTAGTAATGCCTGCTTAGCACGTAGAATTATAAGTGGTGGGCAGGTAAAACCATCGGCCGAAAGAGCCTCTAAAACCGTGACAGATTCACGATTAGTGACAGATCCATTAAATAACTTCTTTTTTGGATGCCTAGTAATGATAAATTGATCGCCTCCGACGCCAATTTGAAAGCCAGTTTCGTCAAAAATTGTAGATATCTTGTTGGCATATACCATGCTCAGTCACCACACGTTGATAGTCTTGAAACCACCTTTCCACCACAGATTTATCAAGTGCAGAAGCTCGCTCAACGTCAAGAGCTCGCCGACGTCGTACGTAGTACTCGGGATTACGCTTAAGAAAACGTTGTAGCCAGTGGTCGCCAATTTTTGGTGGTGGTATAGATTCGTCATGGTGGGCTTCTTCAAGAGTTGAATTGGCGGCAATGGCGATTTGGCGACGATTTATCGACGCTCCGACCGCGTCAAAGTAATCAATATATTCACATAAAGCCTTCTCTTGTACAGGATTGAGCTTCCTGCCATTAGGTTGTCGTTGAAAAAGCGATTTTCCCCCTTTCCATCGGTGGCGTAGTCGGTTTACAGGAACCGCGAATTCTCGCGCAGTTCTCGCGATATGAGGTTTAGATTGCTCAGCGAGAGTTTCGAGAGCTTGATTCTCTATATCTTTATTGTTTTTAGGCATGGTTGGTGGTGTGGTTTAGGATCAAAGTGAAAAGGTGGGATTTAGGAAAAAAGTACGGTTTGGATGGCATGTACGGTATGGGTGGCGGACCCTCGCTTGCGAGGGTCTGTAATTTTGGTAAAATATGTAAGGTAAAATATGTAAGGGCCGGTTATGGCCAAGCTTCAACGGTTGAACGACCGTGACCTCGCTTTCCGCAGTCGGGACGAACAGATCCACAGCTCAACACAACCAACACAGCACTAAAGCGAGGCTAGGAAAAAAGTTCATGATTTCTGGGGATGAAATTGAAGGCGCT